TAAACATTATTAGGATTAATATCAGTCTGTACTGACATCAGTCAAGAAATTTTATCTTAATGTATATATTGTTGTAATGGGCCGGTGGCCGATATCAATAAATAAATTGTCATTGTCATTGCCAAATTATGAGCTGATAAGAAATTAAGTTAGATGTTTTTCTCATAGACCCGTGCTTTATATTGCACATAAAAGTATGTGTATTTTAGTTTTGCTGTTTTATTGCATAGAAATTTTGCCCAACTCTGTACATATTGATCTTTATTGCTTCTTTAATATACAAAAATGTTGTACGTACATGACTATAATGTTTTGGAACAAAATATTCCACTGCTATTTTAGTAGGTTTGGCATTGATTATCGCTTTTAATAAGGCATTCTGTAATACAATGTAAACAATAATTTTACAAATCAACGACAGCAAATTTATATAGCTTTTTTCACTTTAAGCATGATAAAGTGATAAAGCATATGGTAGGATGGCTTATACGAGTATTTTATTGAAGTATATAGCTTTTTTATCGGCTCGTATTTGTAATTTATTTTATGGTATTTTAAATGGAGAAACGGACAGAAGTTTTTATTCTCAGAAAAGGATGATCACAATGGTGTAAATAATAATATATACTTTAGCTGTATCTCAAAAATATTTGTTACTGTATCAGTAAGCAAAGGATATTTTGTAATGAACATAACAATATTTCGGACTCTCAATTCGGATTTCGTAAAGGAAGTGCTGATGTAGATGCTACATATTTTTGCATGTACTTATGTCATTAGTTTAAAAATACTTAAATGATAGTACATAGATAATATTGAATGAGTGTGAACCAACATGAATATGATATAATATAATACAATATAATATAATATAATATTTGTCACATATCCAGAATAAGGAAGAGAATCACCCATTTTGACATGCTGATAGCAAAACGCAAACACTTAGCTGTCTGTATTACGCAAATGTCGTGATATCAAAAATATATGAGCCGCGTCATGACAAAACCAACATAGTGTGTTTGCGAACCAGCATGGATCCCGACCAGCCTGCGCATCCGCGCAGTCTGATCAGGATCCATGCTGTTCGCTTACCAACCCTTTTACAAGTAGAGAAAATAATAGCGAACAGCATGGATCCTGATCAGACTGCGCGGATGCGCAGGCTGGTCTGGATCCATGCTGGTTCGCAAACACACTATGTTGGTTTTGTCATGACGCGGCTAATGAAACATTGCCTTTTACGGAGCCGCAAAAGTGGCGAATATCTGTGATAAATAGATGATATTAACAAAAAATGATGAAAACCTTGGAATTACTCAAAAACTAGTTTTTCAATGTTAACACGTGCCCTTACACGTAATTTTGGTGAAAAATTGTTGTTTTGTGACATTTTTTTTATTAACAGAAAATGATGAAAAACCTTGGAATTATCCAAAAACTAGTTTTTCCATGTTAACACGCGCCCTTACACCTAATTTTGGTGAAAAATTGTTGTTTTGTGACATTTTTTATTTATTTTTCATTAACAAAAAATGATGAAAAACCTTGGAATTACTTAAAAACTAGTTTTTCCCATGTTAACACGTGCCCTTACACCTTATTTTGGTGAAAAATTGTTGTTTAGTGACATTTTTTTATTTTTTTTTTTATTAACAAAAAATGATGAAAAACCTTGGAATTACTCAAAAACTAGTTTTTCCATGTTAACACGTGCCCTTACACCTAATTTTGGTGAAAAATTGTTGTTTTGTGACATTTTATATATATATATTTTTTAATTAACCAAAAAAAAGGGATGAAAACCCTTGGAATTACCCAAAAACTAGTTTTTCCATGTGAACACCTGATTTTGGTGAAAAATTGTTGTTTTGTGACATATTTTTTGAATTAACAATAAATGATGAAAAACCTTGGAATTACTCAAAAACTAGTTTTTTCATGTTAACACGTGCCCTTACACCTGATTTTGGTGAAAAACTGTTGTTTTGTGACATTTTTTTATTTTTTTAATTAACAATAAATGATGAAAAACCTTGGAATTACTCAAAAACTAGTTTTTCCATGTTAAGACGTGCCCTTACACCTGATTTTGGTGAAAAACTGTTGTTTTGTGACATATTTTTTTTTGTTATAATTAAATGAGTGCGAGCTTTATACTGAATTTATCGTAATAATTTGTCATATAACTGAACCTTTCAAACACAAACAGGAATGGTATGCTTCTTTAGAAAATAGTTCTGTTTTGTATATGTATAAATTCGTTAAGTGTTGTTTCGACTATGAACATTATTTGGATATCTTTCATGGTTGTTTTCATGTTATATTTCAGTATAATAAGAAAAGAATAAAAATAAAATTGTAAGAGAAAAAAAAAGGAATCTATATAATGTAATTCTTTAGATAATGAAAACGAATATCATTTCATATGTTTATGCCATTGTTCCTATGCAGAATTACGGGACAAAAATGAAAATTAAAAATATCAGAAATCACGAGTTTATTTTTTTTACAACTTTTGAACACAAATAGTATAGATTTATTAATTCAGTTATTTAAATTACTTTTGCTGTGAGAAACACAATGTTCAAAAGTTGAACTTTATAATTTATATCATAATTATTCATTTTCTCTTTCGCATGTCTGTATTTTGTTTTATTTCTTATCATATATAAATTACTTTTTTATAATTTCAGAAACATAAATTATGAAAAGTTATTGTAAAACAAATATTCATGACTGCTATAGCTATTTTATTGACAGTATGCTTGTAAATACTATTGTAATGTAGGTGATGTACATAATTGAGCCGCGCCATGACAAAACCAACATAATGCGTTTGCGACCAGCATGAATCCAGACCAGCCTGCGCATCCGCGCAGTCTGATCAGGATCCATGCTGTTCGCTATCAGTTGCTCTTCTTGTTATAGTGTTTGTAAGCGAACAGCATGGATCCTGATCAGACTGCGCGGATGCACAGTCTCGTCTGTGCCCATGCTGGTCGCAAAAGCATTATGTTGGTTTTGTCATGGCGGGGCTCATATGTCCTGTATTTTTTCTCCTCTATTAAGAAATTTGCGGTGTGGGACTTTGTATGTCATAACATTATAGGAGAATGAAAAGAAATTGTCAATATGATGTACTATCCTCTTTGTTTACAATGATAGTAATTCGATGTTGTATTTTTACAGGCACATTATGCCTCAGAAATGCTTTTATTTTCATTTCTCAAAACCTTGGGATTTTATTTTTTTGTTTCCATTTATAGTTTCCAAAAAGTAACTTATTTGCCATTTACCTGAAACATTTTTTTTGTGCTTTTGTTGCAATTTGTCAAGACGTACAGTTATAACAATATAGTATTTGGTATGGAACTCCAAATACCACTTTGTTCACATCTTGCTACTTTTATGACAAATACTTTACATCCAGAGCTAATTTCTTCAGGTCAATAGCATCTAACATGCTCTTAAACTATTATTTACGTGTTATAAAACTCCTGTTTTACCTATCTTAAGAATTAAATATTTATTTGTTTCTGAGGTATTATGTGTATTTCACAAGAGATTGTATTGTATACGTTAACAAACTTTCTGTTCTGATCTTATATTTATATTCATATTGTCATTGTCATTTTGAGATGAAACCCATTAAAAATTGTTGTTTTGACGGAGACATTTGTGTGTGTTTCTTAGAGCCAGTTTCCAATTCCTTTCTGAAAAGTTTAAAATATGATATGTAAAGTAATAAATGTGAAAATACTAATTAAATTCTTTTTTACGCTCAAATTTCTTTGTGTTAAAATGAAATACTTCCTTTAATTTAGTCATTTGCTTCAATTAGCTGTACCATGTAGTTGCTGAACGATAACTTGTTACATTGTGTTCAGTCAGTGGTGCAACCTAAACAGAAACAAAACACATGTGGCATTCATATGGCACGACCCTACAGTACTTGTTTTATTATTATTTAAAATCATTTATAATAAAAGGCACGTATCCGAAAGTTGGTAGATAATTGCCACGTGTGTAGATCAAAACCTTGTTTGCAAAAGCCCTTAGCACAATGTGACACAAATTGAGAGGCAATACGCGTCTCGTCATCAATCGACATAATTATTCGTGTTGCTCTAGATCGTGTAACTAGCCAACCTCATCAAAGTTAGGTTGCATGTTTTAGGATGAATGACATATACGAGTATAACGTTTACATGCGCGTAATCCAACCATAAAATTTATGAAATAAGGCGCAATTTTGAGTCATACTAAACTCAATTAAGCTTATTGCCGTTTGCTCAGTGGTTTTTGCTTGATGCTATGTTGATAATTTTAAATACATGTATATATATATTGTTTAGAATAAACATTTGTATTGTTTTATGCTCGGATCTTGCCTGCTGTAGTATTCAATTTCTTTTATTAAACTTCCCTTGATTCTTTTCCGAAACTTAAAAGAAGCAACAACCTTTTTTTCGCAAATACAACAACGAAAATTATATTTAAAAATCACAGTAAAAGTTAAAAATTTCAACGCAACTTTTTTTGTTATCGATAATCATCTTGCGGGCGAACTGGCGAATAAAAAACAACAATACAACTTTTGCCTGAATCATATTCCATAAAAATCCAATATCTAGACCAACCAAGAGGGATGAGAGTAGTACCAAGAAAAATTACACCACAGACCAGACGTATGTAATGACAGTGTTGATGGGTCCACATTTGAAAAATACGCAGTAGATATTTTTTATTTAACTAAGGTATGCTTATTCTTCTGTGCAACAGTACAAATACATGTAAGTTATTCTAGAATCCACGCGCTAGGATACATTTGGTGCTCGATCACATGAGGAAATTACATCTTTTGTAATTAAGGTTATAAAGTTTTTTTGTTAAGTTGTACTGTATACTTTGACATTTACAAGTGAATGATCTATTGATACATACGTCAATAATAATTTGCGACTATAGGTGAGACCAAATTATAAAGATACACAAAAATGGAGGATGACAATTTTATGAATGAGTCTGCCGTCATTGTTAACGGGAGCGGATATTTTTACTACGATTACAACTTTAATTATGAGGAAACACAACTTGAGAAAGCGTTGAAATGGTTTGAAACTGCTTTTATGGTGCCAATCGGAGTTTTGGGAAATATTCTTATATTGTGTGTATTGTCGAAGAAGGTGTATTGGAAATCGTCAACGGCCGTATTCTTGGCATCGCTCGCTGTTTCGGACATACTTATATTAGTGTCGGGGTTCTACAATATCATTGTACCCCCTAATATTTCAAAGATACATTGCAAAATTAACCTATCTATTTGGATAAGCAGTTCACAAACATCGTCGTGCATTCTTGCTACGGTGGCACTTGAAAGGGCATTTAGTGTCATGCAACCACTCAAAGCAAGAGCGGTGCTTACACCAAAAAAGGCTAAACTTTTAGTTATTTTTATATTTTTGTGTGTGTATGGACTGAACGCTATTATGTTTGCAAAATATGAATTTGACGAGGACGATGGCTTCGAAAAAATGTACTGCCCAACAGGAGAACCAACAGGAGAAACAATTGCGGGCTCTATTGTCCACGTATACCCTTGGGTAGATTTTTGTATAGGGTTTGCTCTCCCCTTTATAGTCATTATTGTTTGTTCAATTATCATCATTATAAAGATAAAACCAGATAAAGTTCTCCGACAAAAGATGGAAAGTAAGCAGATTTCCTCTGTTTCGATTACTCTTCTCTCGGCCAACGCCTGTTTTATCGTCACACTTGCTCCAAGTCGAATTTACAACATTATGTTCCCAATACCAACCCTTGGTGATGAACAATTCACAGCATTTCTAGTACTGTCAATGGTATCACAAATCAATGCTGCTGTCAACTTTTTCGTTTACTTTTTTAATGCGACGAAGTTTAGAACAGGTGTGTATGATCTTTTCTGTTGTAGATAAAACCGAACAAAATTTAAGTAATTTAACCAATAAAATACAGTTTGTACCAGCGGTATTTGTACAATGGATTTGCCTGCTATTACCAAAGGAATAACAATATCGGGATATACCAATCAACTTACTTACAGTATAAAGCATGGTCATAATGTAATGATCATGATGTGCAGGCTGTCTATTCTGGTGACAGTGACTGATGACATTCGGTTCCAGTATGACACTAAGAAAGCATAACAACACAATGTATATACGTATCAAGATGATTTGAGACAGTCCACTCGTAACATTATAAAAATACAAGCATTTTCTGGACACATTTAGAAATAAAACCTTAATTAAAGGAATTAATAAAATTCTGAAAAGTGAGAGACACAATAACGAAGGAATTTGTACGCTTGTGTCGCCATTGAAAAACACTTTCCTTGAATTTGCGCTACTCACTTTTTTGTCAATGGTGTTGTAAATAGATTTGTTTGATCTAAAATATTACGGATCCCAATGGGCCCCAATGAGAATCAGCTTTTCATTACTTTTATTATTAGTAGTTTTTAATCTATTTCTTTTATTTGTGCCCAAATTTCAAAGCTTATTAAGTGGAATTATTTTCGAATGTGAAATAAGTTTTTTGTAGAAATAATTGATGTTAATTTTGCTTTAAAATATCAATTACGCAGCTAAACATTACTTCTATTTTTCAAACACAATCAAGATTTTCATGCATGTCTTAGCTAATTTCCTGAGAACAAAATAAATGTTAGTATTATATTAGAAATCATTCTAACCCGAGTCCTCACACATCCTAAGCAAGTATGTTTCCATAGGTTAGGACCATATGTTTCCAATATAGTTATCAGAAAACCATTAAAAACAAACTTAAATTATATTTGTTTGATTTTTTAAAATCTTTAAGCAACAATAAATTAATAATTTACTTTGAATTGAAATAGAAAAATGCCGAATCCAATATACATGAATACATTTTGTATTTACTATTTAGAACCACTCTTGTTTGGTAAGCACTAGTAAGTAATCCAGGAAGGCCTGTTAGGTGAACCGACCGCTAAAATATAACGAAAAATGTGATCAAATCGTTGTGAAAACAGAATTCTCCTAAAGTCATGTTTTCATAAGTTTTAATTTTACGAGTACATTGTCTATTATCATATTGACGTTCTATTTATGGGACAGAAATGCATATGGTTTTACTATAAATGTGATAAATTGGGAAGTATTGTTAAACCTTTTCCTTTTATGGACAAGTATATATAGAAAACGTTTATTTTAACTATGCTAAGATATGACGACCCTAATGAGCATTAAAGGGAACAAATCTTGCCTAGTTATTCACGACAGGTCAACCTGATAATATGGATGATTTGACTTTGACATCTTTGACATTCCGTTTGACATGTATCACATTTGTCACAAATGTGCTCGTTTCTTCGTACATTTTCACATTCTAAAATGTAAGAGTGTTGGTCACATGCGAAAGATTTTTCATGATTTTGCATGACAAGTTCACAGATGAAACATTGGAAAACAGTATGTATTTGTGCAAACCCTTTTAAGTATGGATTCAGATTATTTCCTGGATTCAGATTATTTCCTGTGTCACAAAAATACACATCTTGCAACAATTCAGTTTGTGTTATTTAACTCTTAAATCTTTGGCTAGTATCATAGAAAGTCAATGACATGGCCGATACCTACAATTCACCAATCGGCCTATGATAGACATTGAAATCTCTGAGAAAGACACTTAGAAGCTACTTGGTAATCTAAATCTCCATACTACAGGGTCCCATACTACAGGACTAGACAAAATAAGCATTATTGTTCTAAAAACAATCTGCAAAGATATGTCTCTTATTTTTACTATACTATTTCAAAAGTCCCTGCAATCAATCACTATGTGACATCTTTGGCCAACCCAATATCTCCTACCCGTACCCTTAAACACCTTGTCTCTTCTAATATACTAGATACTTTACAAACAATATTTATTGTTGTCTATTAAGTTTCTGTTACATGGAAAGAAGTTGATATGTTCCATGAATTGCAGCTTTGGCTCCGAGAAAGGAGATCTTGACAAACTGAACTCTTGATATTAGTTAATGGTTTTTATTTCCAATCTGTCGTTGCCTATCTACTCCTTGAATTCGTAAAAGCATATGACGATGTCAACCATTTTGAAAAACTCCCCTATAAGCTCCCATAAATTTTACTTCGGCATAAGAGAAGTAACTCTGCAATGGCTCAAGTCTTTCTTTAGACAATATGTCATACTTGATTGTAGTGCACGGCTCCATGTCATCTACCATCCCAGTCTCCTCAGTTGTCCATAAAACAAATCGACACTTCGCAGACGACAAAGCTAAGCATCTCTCTCCTTCAAAATGCCTAATCAGCCAAATTACAAAAAGGAAAAACCCAAATACCAATACATAAATAACTCATAGAAGTTCCTTCTCTTTAAGTAAATGATGTTTTCAACTAGTCGTAGGCATATAATAAACCGTGCTTCATTTAGAAATCAAAACTTTAATCCATTTATACAGTTATGATCTGTGAAACTGACTCTGTCCAACATATGTTTCTGACAATGTGCAATTACGATATTCGACATCTGAATAATGCTATAGATCTGTCTACCACACGTTTTATGTTTCACGGATAATTTTGTTAAATGATCATATGTTTCATGCTTTTATCGTCTGCTTGTTCTGTTAAGACTCATTTTTTTTCTCATGCAATAACTTCCAATGAAAAAAGAATGTTTACTTTTTAAATATTCAGCCGAAAGATATACAAGACACGGAAATCACCCTAAGTTGCATACACCTAAATTCTCTCTCTGGTGATGGCCCATTGAAGCGAACTTCGAAAAAGTATAGGCTGAATTCATGACAAAATTGGCAGCCACTTCATCCTTTCGAAACCAGATTTTCACAGGTAAAATAGTGAACTGACAGTAAGAATAACTCCTCCAGGCCTATAAGGAAATTAAAATTACAAAATACCTCGCATAATACCATCTTAAAGTCAGTACCATCAGCATAGTTTCTTGGCGCCACGCCGTAAGATAATCCAAGTTTGAACAATTACATTAACAGTTTTGTTTAAAGGGTTCACTCTTAGTAACATAAAAGTGCGAGCCACAAGACACGTGTTCGACCCCAGAGTCCAGTTCAAGTGTTACCATAAACTAGAGCTCTTGTTCACCATAATAAGTCCGTACACAGCCGTGATGCCCGCTTGGTCATAAAGTTCACAGTGGGACATCAGTCGTTTCAGCCGTGCCTGGAGGATATTGGATCAAAGAAGCAACAATATTTAGATCAGCTTCTTATTATATTCCAAAATATCTTTCAAAATAAGGTCGCCATACCCCTGTCTGACTATCTCAAACCAGTAAAATGACCGCGCCATTGCTTTCAAACAAAATAATTTGCATGTACTTTCTTCACATTAAATATTATTTACCCACCTCAGGACCATTAATTTCATCACTGGAATGCCTAACCCCTTATCCCCAAATGTTGTCACATTGTTAGGGCCCGTGTTAAATGAAAACCAGGTTGAACATAGCTTACCCGTTACAAATCTTCTGGCCTGTTTATTTTGAAGTTTCATTTTCTGGCCTGTCTATTTTGAACTCTTATCTTTCTTTTAACTTGCTTTATCCTCCTTCTTGAGATGCACAAAATCTCGGTCACCAGTAGTGGTTGAACTAGACAGATAATAGATTCTTATACGGTTTTGCGTTCCGGTTAAAGATGATTAAACCGTTTTTCAAATTAAAAAATGTTCCCATTCTTAATAAAACCTGACAAATGCTCTTTTATTTTAGTTTTATTTTTAACATTTCAACCTAATAGAATATTAATATTTTGAAGTATAGAATACCGGTAGTCAAACGTTAATTCAAACCGTATTTGTAGTTGAAGAAAACTGTCAGCTATTTTAAAAAGTAACCACTCACTGTCCTTTTCAATTAAAAGGAAAAACGTTTGTAAATTTTGCTTTTTTATTAAATACAAACTTTTGTTGATATTTTATAATGCAAATTAATTGAGACTGGTTCGTGTTATATCATTTTCTGGAGTAATATGAGACAAAAGAGGAATAAATTAATTGTTACTAAACTACATTTTCTTCACGCCTAATAAGTTTGTTTGGATTTATATAAGGAATGTTCATACTTCTCGTATTAAGACTGTCAAACTGAATAAAAGCAGATAAAAATAATTATATTCTTTAACTATTTGAAACACATTTATGAGTATTTTTATTGATTCTTTAATAGTTTGAAATACATTTATGAGTATTTTCATTTATTTATTTATTTTGTAAAGTTACAAATAATCAACAATTAAGTCTACCACTTCTGAACGCTGGCTCATCCTCATCTTGGTGATCTAATTAAATGAGAGCCCTCGAGCCTTTGACAAAAAGGTAAACACAGTTTGTAAAATTATCCGATTTGTTTTTCAAAAATTTAAAGAATACTATGCCAAGTAAAGAATTTGTTTTGAATGCAATTTCGATTCTAAAGGACGTGGCTAGAACTTATGTAAACATCAACTCATGTGTATCCTTTCAAAAGGAGACACATCTTGTGTGATTTCCCATTTCGCTAAGAACACAAAACAATTTCACGGAGCTGGGTTTACAATTGAATTGTAACACATATTCAAATGTGATCAAACACATAGAACAATCGGCACGGTGCCGGCGCCATCGGTATTGAAAAAGAACCGCGCTCGCCAAAAAAGAAAAGAGAAAAAAAAGAAACACTCATAATATGCATCTTAAGTGCGCTCTGTAGTACACATATCGTAGCCAGTCAATGAAAACTAAGTCGATTTGGACACATTAAGTAAATTATTGACAAAGGCGATCTTCTTTATCAACAATATTTTACAAACAGAGGATGAAACCCTTAAACACGTCTTAGGAAAAACAATAAATTGTTACCATTTTCATCCTGACATTGTAGCTTTTTCCCCACATTCATTAACATTTATGCGGCTTCATGTAAAGATTCAAAAACACCGAGTCTGCAGTTCTTTTGTAATTTTGTTGTGATAAATGCTTCCGAGGGATCATTTTGTTTCCAGTTTTTTTTTCATTATTTTAAAAAGCACATATCTTTAAGAATGATATTACTTCGGAATCCTACCTGCAGCATACTGGGACAAACTTTGAAAATAACAGGGTTGATGGGCCATTATTAAAAAATAAAAAGAACAGTAGAAACACATTTTTTAAAGAACACGCATATAATTGGCATAGAATGTACATATTTACGTAACTAAAGGCCGCATTACAGACTGGTCTCTCATAAATATTATCTTATCACAATATATATCCAGATTTCACCTCAACTGTTGCAAAGCAACGTATAATTACAATTTCATCCGGAAATTTGAATGGTACATTTGATAATGAGCTTAGTAATAAATTTTTTAGTAGTACATTTCGTGACCTAATAATTCTTTTCTCATTCTTCTATAAAACACAGTGCAGCAAATAATTCTGCATTCTGGTTAATGAAGTCGACGAAATTACATTTCCATCCGTATTATACAGTGTATAATAAGTATGTCATTTGATGACCGGAAAATCATTTATTAATTAAGATAGATACACTGTATGAGATAGATGATTAAGATAAACAAAAATGGATGACAAAGATTTTATGAATGAATCTGCTGACATCGTCAACGGGAGCAGATATTTTTACTTTGATTACAACTTTAATTATGAGGAAACACAACTTGAGAAAGCGTTGAAATGGTTTGAAACGGCTTTCATATTGCCAATCGGAGTTTTGGGGAATATTCTTGTGTTGTGTGTATTATTAAAGAAGAAATATCGAAAATCGTCAACGGCCGTGTTCTTGTCATCCCTGGCTGTTTCGGACATAGTGATATTAGTGTCGGGATTCTACAATCTGATGGTACTCCGCACTGACTCAAGTATTGACTGTAAAATTACCATACCAATCTGGATATGCAGTTCACAAACATCGTCGTGCATACTTGCAACAGTAGCTATTGAAAGAGCATGTTTTGTCACGCAGCCGCACAAGGCAAAGTTCATATTTACTGCAAGATGCGCCAAACTTATAATGGTTCTGGAGACAATTATCGTGTACGGATTGAATGCACTAATGCTTGTGAAATACGAACTTGACGAAGACAATGGCTTCGAAAATATGTTCTGTCCAACAGGAGAACCGGTTAAAAGTTCTATTGTGCACGTATACCCTTGGGTGGATTTTTGTTTAGGGTTTGCTTTCCCCTTTATAGTAATTATGGTGTGTTCCACTATCATCATAATGAAGATAAAGCCAGATAACCGACAAAATAAGGAAAACAAACATATTTCCTCTGTTTCGACTACACTTCTTTCGGCCAACGTTTGCTTTCTCGTCACACTTGCACCAAGACGTATTTACAACATTCTGTTTCCGATTACCCTTACGGACAAATTAGGATTTTCCTTGTTTCTTGTGTTTTCAACGGCATCACAGATGAATGCGGCTGCAAACTTTTTCATCTATTTCTTAAATGCGACAGTGTTCAGAGCTGATCTAAAAAACATTTTATGTCATCAAAATCGTTGCCATTAAAGTAAAATATGGCAAGAAAAATGACGTGTCATCAATGATTTCGTTGCCCAAAAATGTGGATGGATATCAACTTTAAAAAATGTACAATGACGATAGAAAAGAATAATTATGATACATAAGTCGTCGCTTCTTGTTGCATTTTAAATTTTGAAAGTCCCATATGACAAACCACGTGACCGTTTAAGACGGCGAATTGAAAAATTGATAATGATAGATAAAGACATCATTCATTCATGAAAAACATAACATTGACAGAATTAGGAAAATTGGTAGACATGACGGGATTTCGCAAGATAACAGTTTTTGAAAGATTTCAACATGTCCTCCATACGCGATCATTTGCTGCGCTTTTATGCTCTTAGACCGTTATCAACGGTTTAATTTCAGATACTAGTGTCCCTGTAGGATTCCAGCCTTCTAACATATCTTAGTAAATTCCACTCGAGCAAAATAAAGTTCCAGATTAAGATATTATCTTTTTCTTTGTCAACTTGAGCTACATTGACTAAATATTTCAAAAGATTGACTGTTATAATGGTTATGAACAATCAGTTGGTATTGGTAATGAAAAATCTTATGGATTGAATATAAATGAGCCTTAAGAATAAAAATACTTCATTTTATAATTTGAACATTAAATGTTAAATTCCTATGGTCATTTACAGACATTTTCTTGGACAATGTGAGTTATTAGATATCGTTCATGCGAATTAAACTATAAAACGGAAAGGAATTATGGCAAATTGTAAATAACAGGGACTTGATTGATAAATAATTATATTACTGTTCCTAAAACTCATTAAATCCATATATATTCATTAATTCATATTTTTTATTCATTATCATTATTATCAGCATTATTTTAAGTAATAATTGAAGCGTCATTGTATCAACTGACGTGTTGGCGGATAGAGATTACTTCTAATTTGTCACAAAACTTGTCAGGGTTTCTCTTCAAACACTTCGGGTGAAATTTCATCCAAACTTTACAGGAATGATCATTACCATGTCCAGTTTTTTTGTCAGAGTTATTAATCTAATGTTTTTTTTTCTTTTACAGTTTGTCTTATATTACTAATGCAATTTCTATAAAATGTTTGAGGATTGCTCGGCACTCAAATACATGTGCATATTCAACGGGGTTTCAAGTTAAATGAGATATGAACCTTGAATAAAAAAGGCATTTTCGTCTATTAATGATTTTGAATCGCCTGTACGCAGTATCTGTGACATGTTTCAAAGCAGTCGCGACTTTCAGAAATCTCGAGTCCATCGTCTGTCAGTCCATCGTCTGTCTGTCTGTCTATTTGTTAGTCCGAACTTCTCTAGAACAAATGGCGCAATTTCTTCCTTACTACAAAGGAACGATCAGTAGCAAGTCTGACTGTGCTTGTCGTCGGCATTTTTCTGTTTAATGTTGTTTTTTCTGAGTCATAGCTTTTTAAAGATTTTTTTGAAGTTTGTCGATAACAGTCATGTGGTCTGAATATCATATTATGCTTGATTATGTCCCGTATATGTACATGTATATATATATATAGTGTAATTGTCTGTTATTTATGTGTTATATTCATTGACAGTCTGATGCACAAGCCACCATCCTATGTCATTCACATTTGATCACAACTATTTCAAACAACTAATTACTTATATTTTATTTAGACATATTTTGCATGCCGGGCCTCAGTTTTTACAAATTTCCCCGTCAAACCGTCTTACGCATGCGCACATTGAAAAACTAATTTCTGTGGTATACACCAGAAATTGTTGATCTTTATTTATTTAAATTAATATGTCCTTTACAGTAATTGTTATTAATCATTATGTTTCGTTATCATGAATCTTTCCATTGACAATTTATATATTTCGGGGCTGTGTATTTGATCAATATATTTCTATAGTTTGCTTCAGAATTTGTTGGTCTTTATTTATTCAAATTATCAAGCGCTTGTTTATGCCCTTTGCAGGCATAAATCAGGCATACAGTCATTTTACAGGTATTTTTGACAGGATTTCAGGCATGGGGTAATGCAAAGATGTAATTACAATGACTGTAAAATATTTATTGTGAGTTCTTTAGACAATGTACAATTTGATTGAGGTCTGGGCCGATAATTTGTATGCAAAACTGCAGTTCATTCGCTCACTCCATTTCTTTCAGTATAATTATTTTAAAAGATGCGCCAAACTATTTCACGGAAATTAAACTTGAAGAAAGTTATTAAGAGATTGTACATGCAGTTTGCAGTGTGTTAAACTACATTCTTTGTTCGCTTCATAATATTTTACTTTAAAAACATTTTCGAAACTTTCATAAAAATAGCAAGAATCTGGAGGCGTGTGGCTTTAATTGAGGAAAATGACCAAATAATAAAAAACATTTTTACAAACGCTTTTATATCAAATCGAGCCGAAAGTAGAATAAACATTCGATTTTCAAATTTATTTCCGAGTATATATCCTGATTGCCTTGCACGATTGAGTCACTTTCAGTTTTTTACAGATGTTGATTAAAAAAAAGGCGTGGTCGCAAAACGGAACTCATCTGGAGACGCGACGCGTTATTTGAGGACTGTGATATTAATATTAGAAATTGAATTCGTTGTATTTCTAATTATCCATCTTATTAATACAGTCATAATTATGATTAACCATTGTGATGGAGATTTTGAAATCATTCAGAGGAAAGTAATAGGATATTGTACTGGTGTGGCAGTTGTCAGTTTTACTTAAATACATCTGGGAAATAATAATTTTAGAAATTTTCATGACACAAATGAGAATGGTCTGTAAAAAGTTTGTTTGTTTCTTTACATTTAAAAATTAATAAACGGTCAGGCCTATATCTTTTAAAGAAATCATAAAAAGTGAATGATCAGTTCTAACCTGCTGTAGAATGTAAAACAGAAAAACGTCCGCTCCCAAGCACGAAATTAATGGAGATTTTGACAAATTAAGGTTTGTAACGCGACCCTTACCAATGAACACTAAACAAACAATATATAGTTTTATGCAATTTGTTCAGTATTTTGTTATTTTTTCTTTCTTTCTTTCTTTATTTTTTCTCCTTTTCATTTTTTTTTCTTTCTGTCTTTCTTTTTATCTTTCTCTCTTTTTATCTTTCCATGTTTTCTTTCTTTTTTCTTTCTTTTCTTTCTTTCTTTCTTTCTTTCTTTCTTTCTTTCTTTCTTTCTTTCTTTCTTTCTTTCATTTGTTAATTATTGTATTAAATTTAATGACATTTGATTAACTATGTATTGGATGTTTAAAGAACTCCACTGAGGTCAAAACGCCTACAGACATTTGAATTCCTTACATAGATGGCAGAAGATATTTGCAAAAGATAATTCAGAAATGATCCGCGTCACGACAAAACCAACATAGTGGGTTTGCGACCGCGCAGTCTGATCAGGATCCATGCTGTTCGCTGTCAGTTTCTCCAAATTGTAATAGAGTTGAAAAGCGACCAGCATGGATCCTGATCAGACTGCGCGAATGCTCTGGCTGGTCTGGATCCATGCTGGTCGCAAACCCATTATGTTAGTTTTGTCATGACGCTGCTCAAATATACTCAGAAATCATTTGAAAGTTTTATTTTTATGCTATTCGTGGCATGATTTCAGTGAAAATCGTTGCAGAGCGTTTCAAATTTGGTCATTTTTGACAATTAAAATAATCATTTGGAAAACCGGAGTTAGCGGATGAACACAAGTTATTAGTCTCGTAGTACATCAAATGGAACCTATCCTGAAAAAGTATTTCTAGTCCAGTCATGTCAAAACAAACTTTTATGAAAATGAAGTGCTATACTATGCGGGGGTATATTTTAATTAGTGGCAACGGCAGGGGGTTTCATAAACAAGTCATACCCGTGAAAATGATTAGTAGTCCTTCAAATTTCCCGCTCACCATGGACCTCTGATATTTTTATCCTGCACACCCTGGACTTTGGGTTCTTTGTATACCCTCTCAGGCACAGCAGCACGAGCTTACTATTCCATCACTGCGTACATAACTCTTTTAACGCTCCTGCTGCGTCGGGCAACAACTGGGCGATCGCTATTTAAACCTACCCCCATTTTAAAACATTTTAGGGCAATAAAGCCGTTTCATCCCCTGTGACAATTTCTCTTAGGCATCTAGGGTTTCGGATTTTTGAACCTAGTTAATAAGGCCGATGCTTTTTTAATCCGTTCCTTTTTCTGGTCAGAAGTTAGCAAATACGGGACCTAACGGGCGCACACTTAACTTTTACTATTTGCATCAACTATGGCTTTGACAGTGCTGATGGCTTTTTCAGCGATAGCGGAAATTGCCCGCCCAGGGCGGGGATCATTCTTAACAATAGTTCTACCGCCCTTAAACATTGATACCAACCTGGAAAATGTACGATATGAAAGGACATTTTCTCCATAAGCATAATCTAGATACGCGCATTTTACCCAATAACCCATATATTTTGCAATAAGCTTTTTGCTCCTCTCACAAATCACAATGCAACTCAGCAGTTTAAAACCACTTGTTTTAAAATGACCGTCTAAAATTCTATTGCACGTGCAAATCGTGCGAAAATAAACTTGCAAGACGGAACAAATGTACAGACTGTACAGACTTGTCTATAACTTTTTGGCAACAAAGGCAATATGACTTTATACTGGCGGGTAAGGCTCAGTTTCAGGGGCGTATTAAGATCTCCCAGTTACATTTCTTCATCCATGCTTTACTTTGCTCCGGGACGTGGTAATGCAGTATGTAATGTATGTCAAAAACCTTCCGTCCACACATGAAATCCCTATATTGAATTCTGTTGGTTTTTCTATTTTCTTGTGATGTTTTTCCCGCAAGTTTTAATCATGTCTCGGCGGTTGATCCACCTAGCAGACTTTCCTGGATAACGCCTAGTAATCTCACATAATTTTTTAACCAGCGGCGAAAGACCACAAGATCAGATTCGCCTTACCCAATGATCGAACCAACGACCTTTGGAATTACAAGTCCAAGTTTCTCCCTGTTCAACTCAGCGAGCGGACTGTATTCAAACGATTTTTTTGACCAACCATTTTAAGGAAAGTAAACAAGACGAAAATCTCTAATCACAAAGGGATCACTAAATATGGAGCGAATAAACTGCCAACAGGGACCTTGACCACACAGGGAATTCCAGATAAAGAAAAACACGGAACAAAGTATATCAAATTATGAACAACATTGTTATTAATTATAATAAATCATTGAGATATTGATACATTGTTTTTTACTTTATAAAGTGTAAACGTGTATGTGCTATGACAATTTACGTTAACAATTGTACATGTACTTGATTACAAACATGAACTAGAATACCAGGATTGGTTGTCTTTTTTAACAGTGTCTGATATATGAGGTACATAATGTATAAATGCATAATTAATTTATGGCACGAAAAAAAGGAAACAGAACTTAAAAGAGAAAAATACAAATAGTACCGGAAGACAAACAATATTTCTCCAGTCAAAGAGTAAAGAATTTCTCAAGTAAAACAGTCAAGTAAAAGAAAAAGAGTCAAGAATTTCTCGAGTAAGAGTAAAGAGAGAAGAAAATGTCCACGCGCATGACATGGCCGCTACTTGCCTATATTAATACTGAAACAGGATTTAAGTATTAAATTAAAAATTTCGGTTAAAAATTTCTGCTCAAACCGTTAACTAGCATTTCCTAGATATTATTAATAAATCAAGAGTTTCTTTTAATTTAACTGTTTAACTGAACTACATGTATGATTTAGTTTTAAAAAGAAAAAAAGAAAAACACTATTCTATAAATAAACATCTTCTGGACGTCTAAGTAATTTTTTATATATAAAAAATCTGCCACACAAATAACATATTCGTGAACTGCATGTTTTGAAAAGAGCATACATGTACGTCAGAAATCAGAAATCATCTTATGGAAGGCCGAGTGTTCAGACATGTATGGAAGGCCAGATGTGAAATATTATCAAATGGTAACAAATAAAGAAAGAATACAAAGATAAAGAAACAAGAAATAAGTAGAGAGAAGACAACACTATACAAGTATGTACACATTTTACTATTATTAAATTACAAATAAAGATAACAGTGTGATACTACTACTTCGTTTTTAAACTATTTACATCTGAAAAGTTATACAGTAAACATGAATGAAAAATAAACAACAACAACATAATTAATACATGTATGTAAATGAAAACTTTATACCTATATATAAAAGTATAAACGAAAGTATTGCAATAAGCTGTGTGTTTGGCAAGTTTTAGAAAATAACACAAGTTTTAGAAATAACATAAGTTCAAGAGATAATAACATATATTTTGGTATTAAAAAGGTTAGTTCAATATTTCCTGATCATGAAATTACCTTTTTTTACGTCTGAAGGATCCATCTTTTTGGAGTTAAAACAAAGGCCAATTATTTTATCAATGTAGAGTACAGGCCCCTTAATTAATCAATGTACAGAGTACAGGCCCCTGAATTCACCAATATATATCACAGGTCTCTTTATTAATGTAGAGTACAGGCCATTGCACTCTTGTAAAGTTCAAAGCAGCACAATTTATAGCAAATTACTTTCATTACAACACTTTCTTTGCTGTTTCAGGTAAGTTATCTTTTTTTTTCTCTGGCACATCCAGTCCTATTGATAAAACCATTGCAACAGGAACAGATCTGTTGTGCTAAGAAAATAAGAACTGCATTAATACATATTGTATATAGAAAATCTTGGCAAGTCATGTTACCTTGTGATGACTTTATTCATTTAAACCTTTGATTTAACTTTTGCATCCCATATTAGCCCTAAACATTTTTTTGAAGCACTGATCAACAAATATTGAACCAACTCTTCAATCCCGCATACAACAAAAGCGTGCACAGGTTGCTTTTTCACGAGGCATTTCATTGCATAAATTAAGTAGCATAAACACAAAAAAGGAAGAACTATTCTAGAATTATGCCAATAAGCATGAACATAAAGAAACTAAGCATAGATAAATAAGGAGCAAATTGGAAACAAAACAATGACATTTTATGTCCTGAAGAATCCAAACAAAACAACCAAAAATGATTAAACAAAAATAAGAATTATAGACACAACGAAATGAGCAAATAAAGGTTTGTAGCTGATCCAGCTCACAATGGCATGTAAGGAATCTGTCACTGTATTGACCTTGTGTGAGTGGCTGGACAGCTCAGTTGATACAGCCACAGTTTTGGTAATCCGTGAGTCCCTGGTTCGAGCCAGTCAGGTTATACTTTTTTTCTCACGCTGTTGATATTTGGCGCCCAAGAATTGCTTAAAATTCTTTATTTTCCCCAAAAATATTGCCATAATTAAAAATATTCAAAATATTCACAGTCAAGCATTGTTGGTTTTATTTTTTAACTAGTTTTTATTTTTAGGTTTATTTTTTGTACAATAATACGATAATTATGCTTGTGCTGCTAGCCTTGACAAAGGTTAATAAATTTCTGTATTAACTGACACAGCATAGCATTTATAAAGAATTTTGTATATTGCTAAATAAAGATAATAAATTATTAAATTTCTGCCAGTAATTGACAGTAAAGTATAGCACAATGTATACATAAATTTCAAAAACTACCAGAAAAGTCAGAATGTCATAAGACAATTAACTGAAATGATTTACTCTGAAACAAAACAGAACAGAACAGAAATACATGACTGCTTTTACAGTTACAATAGCTAATAGTGTGTGTGTCTGAACAGGTAAATTATAAAACAAATATAAATCACATAAGTTTAATCTCATAAACCCAGTTTTGCACTCTGAAATGCTGTCTTTGGTGAGAGGGAAGACAAAAAACAAAAAACTTAAAATATATTTTTCTACATCCAACATAAAAAATGTCATTTGTTTAACAGAAAAATAAAAAAATAAAAATTAATTACTGAATGTTCGTGTTTGTGTGGATTGTCTGCTTATTTATTTAACAGAGAAACATCAAAAATTGTATAAAATTAATGCTTCACCTGCAGTTACTTGCTCTTCTTGAAATTTTCAAAATTTAAAGATCCCAGGTATTTGATTGGTCAGAAACCAGAAGAGAATTTATATTGACCAATGAAAATCCAGAGATCAGGAAAAAAGTTTTAGAAACCTGAGACCAGGGCTCAATGCAAGACTGCTCTTTACATAGACTCTGAAGTAAAAATTTTATAATGTGCCCTTACAAAAACAAATGTTCTTGCTAACGAGTGCTATGACGAACAAATAATTATGTCAGCTTTATAATGCATATATAATGTATGATTGACAGTGTATAATAATTATATGAATTGTAGATACAGTCAAACCTGTGTTAAAAGACCATCTATGAATAAAGACCACCATGTGTAAAAAGGCCACTCAGACAATCCTTTAATGATTTAAAAGAACATAGGAACCTCCAATTAAAGACCACTGGTCTATGAAAGACCCGATTGACCTCTCCCTTGGTTGGCCTTTGTTAACAGGTTTGACTGTATGGTAAATGAACAAGACGTTTTAATCCTTAACCTGCTGAATCTGTGTAATGGTTTTGCCCAGCTTTGAATTTGGAACAGTCCATTCCAAGTTTAAGGGATTTCAACATCAAATATATAAGTTGAGCTACCAACAGTATAGAGCCAGGTCAGACTGAACGGCAGAGCAGGCTGGCCTTGACATCCCTACTTGTGGCACAGTTTAAGCACTTCGGTTTCAGCAGGTTAGGGGTTAAATTGGTGCACGTTTTAATGTGGTCTTTTTTAAACATGTTAACAAATTAAACTTTTACTTCATGAACATGTCAAGATATTCCATCTGTAATTTTTAACTATCTTGTTTATTTTGTATGAAAACAAATTATTTGTACCCAACTAGATCAAAGTAGTAAAAAAAATTTCACCGCGGAGTCACATTATCAAGTATCTAGACTTGCGCATGTTGTGGGATCAGGTTGGCAGAACAGATTTCCTCACTATAAATGTATTACAGATGGAACATCCTAAGTGCAGGAAAACAAAACAAATGTTTAAAAAACACCCATTCAAATGGTAACTTTAATTCTGAACACATAACTGAGCTCTTATACGCAAGTATGAGCAACAAATATATAAATATATTATAAATGTTCATGTGTATTATCAAATGCACTTTTTATCATATACAGCAATTTCATTTCAGTCAATGTTTTAACGTTTAAAGTTTAAAGACCAGCCCGATGACTTGGTGCAAAATGATTATAACTCTTCTTCTGCTTTATATGTAGTTACTGGAGTATTGCATTGCATGCAAACTTCACATTTCATAAGCGTTGTCAAGGCTAAATATTGATAAAAAAATCTTGAAAAATCCATATGGGCTGGTCTTTAAACTTCATATAATTTTCGTTGAAAACAAAGACATTATCTCTGATTAAGTATTTGCTTAACTTCATTAACAACCTCTTTGAACAGCAGACGAGTAACAGCAGATACATGTATTCTTACGCGAGAAAAAAAATTCATACACAAGAAAAATGTAGTCCACGTTCAGTTTCAACTCTCCATTCCTGGAAACTTAACACAGACCGTAAAAAAAATTGCACTTTTTTTCTTTAATTTATCAGGCACAATAAAATTAATGTATAATTTATATATGCACTACTTTTTTTTAGCACTATTCTATAAAAAGATCAGATCAGTTCTTATTATGACTAAACTAGCACTGTTTCAGTTTTACGAAACATCCAGCCGAATTGCATTTCATCACTTTTCGTCGTTTTCTTGAAGAGCAATAACTCCTTTCTTGATCCTCTTTGTGATCACATGACTGGCATTGTCTTAGTCATGTGACTTGACTAAAGTCATGTGACCAGAAAAGAACTTGCGTTTTTAAAGAAATCCAATTCAAAACTGTGTATCTAATTCAACATCATATGTTAAGTGCAGTACTCTACGCTAAGGAACTACATGTATCTCTCAAATCCATGATTTAAGTAAATGTATTCACTTTATCACTTAAAGGTCAAAAGGTTATCTGACTAGACGTCTACACATTCGGGACTGGGTGGGGTACGTCTACCCGACCGTCCTCCATCAATGTTTAACATATAATCGGCCGCGTTCTGGATATTCCAGTCACATGCTAACAAAGCTTCCTTGCACCGACTAACATCACCTAGCTGTATGCTAAGAAGTTGTTTTAGTTTAATAAATTTGATAGCTTTATGAAGGTCCCATTTTGTATCCTGTAGTGCCTCTAAACAGTCTTCTCTTGTCACCTGAAACACAATGTAACAAAAAACTATTAACGCTCAACTTGTTAAATTTTTTAACCCTCATCTTGGTAAATTTCTTAACCCTCGACTTGGTAAATTTCTTAACCCTCGACTTGGTAAATTTCTTAACCCTCAACATGGTAAATTTCTTAACCCTCGACATGGTAAATTTCTTAACCCTCGACTTGGTAAATTTCTTAACCCTCAACTTGGTAAATTTCTTAACCCTCAACTTGGTAAATTTCTTAACCCTCGACATGGTAAATTTCTTAACCCTCAACTTGGTAAATTTCTTAACCCTCGTCTTGGTAAATTTCTTAACCCTCAACTTGGTAAATTTCTTAATCCTCAACTTGGTTAATTTCTTAACCCTCTTCTTGAAAAAATTCTTAACCCTCAACTTGGTTAATTTCTTAACCCTCAACTTGGTAAATTTCTTAACCCTCAACTTGGTAAATTTCTTAACCCTCAACTTGGTAAATTTCTTAACCCTCAACTTGGTAAATTACTTCTCAATGGGCTTGTTTGGTCCATTTTTAGAACTATGCATTATTAAATATGGGAATATCCGGATCAAAAGTAGTATAATTGCTTGAACATCAGTAATTTGCAATGCCTTACTACACTTAGATCATGCAAAACAAGAAAAAAAGTGGTACATAACCATGACTTCAGTTAAACAAAAATCCAGGGGTTGATGGTTTGATCCTTGGGTGAGGAGAAGTTACTTTGTGACAATTTGATCTCGGACTTATTATCATGGTCATTGGTCTAAAATATTATGGGATCAGTTGTTGGTCACTTGGAGAGAAATTGTATTTACTAGTGTGTTATCTACGACAGTTGGACAAGTCGACAAACCCTCCAGACGTGACCAAAAATAAGTTGATGCGTTAAAAACCAAAATTAACAAAACACCTTATTCAATTAACTTACTTGTACATGTATAAGAGATTGATTTACAATCCTAAAATGTGTATATTATTATCATTAAAGCTAAACTATGATATCATTTGTTTCATATTCTGTTAGGTATATTGAATGACAATAATTAAGTTTAGACAGTCTATAATGAAGACTCTGTGGTTCAATGTGTGAATGTAATGAGGAAAGCCTAAAGCCTACAGATCACCTTATATCATCTATATGGAAAGATACTGTATCACCAGACAGAATTATACAACTAATTATATAATAATTAAATGAAATGACCCATTTACCTCGAAACAGTTCTCTTCTTTTTTGATATCATTTATCTTTTACATAATTTCAGGTACATGTATACAATTTCAGACAGGTATAACATCTTTTACAATATGACATGCATTAATTGTAACTCCTCGCCCAAAAATGCTTTGTTACAAAACATATTAACTTTCTTTGTGTATAAACAAAATAAGAACTTTTCCCGCATTATCCAAGTGCTTTTTATAACCACAGATTATTAAAATTAGTTTCCTGTACACCAGTCTATACACCAGTGCTTCTTATTGGTCAATTTCAAATATATCCAAAGACACAGCCAATCAGATACAAGGATTTCAAATAAATTAATCAATTTCAAGTTTTATACAAATATCAGTCCAGTCACCATAATTTATTTATCAAACTTCACCAGCCACCATGTATTCACTGCTCACCTATACCAGAACAGGTTCGAACCCCTCAAGGACACATTTCAATAGGACAGGAAATTGGTCAACAGTTTGCCGATCATCAACAGATGAGCCAACAGGCTTGCTACTGCCAGAAATATGTAAGAACTGAAATATTGTAAAATATACCGCTATATATTGTCAGTTAATGAACCCATTTTAAGTTGTTAAGGCACTTATAGCAATATAATTATATAGAAAGGGTGTTTGAAGCCAAGTTACATCTCTTATTCAGTAAACGGCAAAAATGTTTCCTTTCTTTTTTCATATCTTCTTCTCAGCACAAGATAAATCCAAGGCTCGTTCATGAAGCCAGCCAAAATGCTTTCTTTTTTATTTCTTGTTTACTGAAATGGCACTCATTGTCTATGTACATTCTCTTCACGTTTATTGATAAAACTGAAAATCATTTCACAATTTTACTTGATCGCATATTAAAATGTTGATGAAATATGCTTCTGTTGGGGACAATACCATTTTCTTTACATTTTTGCTACTTTTTAAAAGAAGGTATTCATGGTCAATGCTGCTTGTTAATGTGATAAGAAATCTAACATGCTTTATGTCCATTATTAAACACAGGTAAGTCTCTTTTCTTCTGAGAAAAAGATTCATTTCCATGGCTTAAAATGTCAGCCGTCCCACATCAGATTTTACCCATACAACCAGTGCAGACAAAGATTAGCTAGCAAATGCTGTTTGATCATGGTCTGCACTGTGCACATCTCAGCCTTATCATATTCAGAAAGTTTCCAATACAACGATGAACAATTTTGTTGGGACTGAAAAACTGACAAATCATTTCACAATTTTAAGCTTGGTATCAGGGTCATAATCTAAAATGGTGATGAAACTTGGCTTCAAATATCCTTGAATATATATATGCGGTTGCCATGACAACTGGTTGGTTCCAGGTGCGAGTATACTTACATCACTACCGAAGAGTTTTTGCATGAGATCTACTTCCTCACCATTCTTCTCCCTGTAACAAGAGCCAGTAAAATATATGTTACAAACTAAGTGTAACAAACTAAATGTAACAAAGCAACATATATACCGTTAAAACATAATAATCATGAAAAAACGTAACCGCATTTGAGCCGCACCATGACAAAACCAACATAATGCATTTGCGACCAGCATGGATCCAGACCAGCCTGTGCATCCGCGCAGTCTGATCAGAATCCACGCTGTTCGCTATAAGTTTATCTACTTATATAATAGAGTTTGTAAGCGAACAGCGCGGATCCTGATAAGACTGCACGGATGCGCAGGCTGGTCTGGATCCATGCTGGTCGCAAACCCATTATGTTGGTTTTGTCGTGATGCGGCTCATTTAAGTATACGACAGAAGCAACAAACGGAAAGTACAGTCACATGGAGACAAACAACACAGTAACGTACCTGTCACACACAAAATCACATAGCAATATTTTACAATAATTTAAACCAGAGCTTAATACTGTAGCAAGTAACTTAAATGATTGTCACAAAACCCAACAGATATATAACTCAATCCAATCATAAAATATAAGAAAGTATCAGAAAGATGATTGATTTGTAACAGGAATCGATACATAGAAATAACATGACATAGGGCTGTCCACAGCCACAGTTAGTGACAAAGGAAAGTGCCATGTCAAGAAATGAAGTCACATAATTTTATCAAAACTAAAGCAAGTAAGTTACAGGTCTGTAACAGAATTAGTTTATCTCAATGAACTGAATTACAGAATTTTCATTTTCAGGATTGTTGCAGAACTGACCAATTTCCGGAATTTTAACAGAATTAAAATTTAAATACATGTACAATGTAATTTCCGTGATCTTTGTAACAGAATCAATCCCTTCTCGAAACAGAATGAATCAATTTCCATAACTGCAGCATAACTAAACTGACAAACATGTCTCAGAAGTAAACAAAACATTTGTAACAAAGTGACACAAGGAGCACTACTTGCAACAAACCATGGATGTAACCAGACAAAATCAATGATGATATTGTTTATGGTATAGAATAATCATGTAACAAAATGATTTTTTCCTTCTAGAAATTAATATTCTAGAGCATTAAATATGTCCAATCAATAACATACTCAGTCAAATCATTCAATCAACCAATAAGAAATTTTCAATCAAATCAGTCAATCAACCAATATAAAATATACAGTCAAATCAGTCAATTAACCAATAAGAAATTTTCAATCAAATCAGTCAATCAACCAATATAAAATATTCAGTCAAATCAGATAATCAACCAATATAAAATATTCAATTAACAAATAAGAAATATTCAATCAAATAAGCCAATCAATCAATATAAAATATTCAGTCTCATAAGTCAATCAATCAATATGAAATATTCAGTCTCATAAGTCAATCAACCAATATAAAATGTTCAGTCTCATAAGTCAATCAATCAATATAAAATATTCAGTCTCATAAGTCAATCAATCAATATAAAATATTCAGTCTCATAAGTCAATCAATCAATATAAAATATTCAGTCTCATAAGTCAATCAATCAATATAAAATATTCAGTCTCATAGGTCAATCAACCAATATAAAATATTCAGTCTCATAAGTCAATCAATCAATATAAAATATTCAGTCTCATAAGTCAATCAATCAATCAATATAAAATATTCAGTCTCATAAGTCAATCAATCAATATAAAATGTTCAGTCTCATAAGTCAATCAATCAATATAAAATATTCAGTCTCATAAGTCAATCAATCAATATAAAATATTCAGTCTCATAAGTCAATCAATCAATATAAAATATTCAGTCTCATAAGTCAATCAACCAATATAAAATATTCAGTCTCATAAGTCAATCAATCAATATAAAATGTTCAGTCTCATAAGTCAATCAATCAATATAAAATATTCAGTCTCATAAGTCAATCAATCAATATAAAATATTCAGTCTCATAAGTCAATCAATCAATATAAAATATTCAGTCTAATAAGTCAATCAATCAATATAAAATGTTCAGTCTCATAAGTCAGTCAATCAATATAAAATATTCAGTCTCATAAGTCAATCAACCAATATAAAATATTCAGTCTCATAAGTCAATCAATCAATATAAAATGTTCAGTCTCATAAGTCAATCAATCAATATAAAATATTCAGTCTCATAAGTCAATCAATCAATATAAAATATTCAGTCAAATCAGTCAATCAACCAATATAAAATATTTAGTCAAATCAGTCAATCAACCAATATAAAATATTCAGTCAAATCAGTCAATCAACCAATATAAAATATTTAGTCAAATCAGTCAATCAACCAATATAAAATATTCAGTCAAATCAGTCAATCAACCAATATAAAATATTCAGTCAAATCATTCAATCAACCAATATAAAACACTCAGCAAAATCAGTCTATCAACCAAAATAAATATTCATTCAATCAAAAAAGTGCCATATTAAAAAAAATTTACTGAGAAAATGGATCTCAATCATAAAACATTGCCACTTTAACGCAGTAACAGGTTAACTCTTATTTTGAAACAATAAAACTTAACCCCTTACTGCACCAAGGTGAAGACAATAATTGAAGTTAAAGAGTAACTTTATATAATGACATTCAATTTATCATATTAACTTATTTTTAAATTTAATTAATGAAACATTACAGAGTTAATTGAAATACAAGTAGCATAAAACATGTAAAATATATATATGATATTTCTTTTGTACATTTATATTAAAGTGAAAGTGTTATATAAATATATTATATAAAATATTTATTTTCCAAGTATCTTAAGTATATAATAATATGGTGCCACACAGAGAGTTAAAAAAACTGACTGTATAGTTAAAAAGTGTCAAGAAAAAGGTGATTATTTATGCACACATTGCTATTATTGCTTTAGAAAAAGTGTGGAGTGAGTTGTTTTTTTCTTTTCCGTGCAAGAGTAGCTTCCCCTGGCAGAAAGAAGGGGCATCGCAGAAGGCTGGGATAAATATATTTCTCTTTATTGCAGAGAAGGAAAATTTCATTCAAAATTTGGTCAAATAGTGTTATTTCTTGTTAAAGAAATTTTGTTTTCTACAGACTTGGAAATTCTCCTCAGATAATGACTGGGAAAAGTCAGACATTGTTACCAGTTAATGGTAGGGAGTTGGAACTTGTCACCAGACTTTGGAAGGGGGTCAGAATTTGTCGCTAGACATTGGAAAGGGGGTCGGAACTTGACACCAGACCATGAAAGGGGGTCAGAATTTGTCGCTAGACATTGGAAAGGAATGGAAGTATTGTTATATAAGCATTTTTAATGAGGTAAGCAAACAAAATATCAAACAGCCAACGAAAACGTAGAGTTTTGAGGAGGTATACTTTGTGTGAATGAATTCTACATCACTGCCAATCTGCGAAACATATGTAGGGGAAAAAAAAGAGGGTTAAACTTAAAATGCATTCAAAGATATATAATTTCTATGCCTGTTGGATATGTGGCTATATACATGTATACATGGGTATATGCTGGGGGGTAAGGGAGTCATTCCAAGCTAAAAATAAACTCATTATACCAACCTACAAAGCCATGAGATATATAAATAACTACATAGCATTGTACTTGATGATTTGTGCAAATTTAGGGGAAGGAAAACACAGCAACATTTTATGTCCTAAAAAAGTTTTAAAAAATATATACTAAAACTGATTTGTATTAATCTCAAAACAAAGGACACCAGTGTTATTCATCCTAAAGTAGGAAAAACTAACCCAAAGTACTTTAAAATTCAACCTAAAGTAGAATTTTTTTTTACTTAATTATTTATCTAATTTACGAATTTTCACTCAATTACTAAGAAGGTTTTTTAACTCAAATACTTGAAAATTAACAAAAAGTAGGAAAACTCTTTCAAAGAGTACGAAATCATAGGTTAGCAGACTATCAGTGGTGTAATGCAGTGGTGTAGATTCCTATAAGCTGTAGGCAGCACTGCAGCTTACATTTTTTTTCCAAGAAGATAAAATAATTAAACCTATAACAAGTGGCTGAAAACTGTTTTCCATAAAACTAGTTATGTTTTGCTTTCTATTTCTAGGCTGGGGAAAAAATGGCTTCAATATCAGTTAAGTATTATTACGAGTATTGGACACGAAATACAAACAAACATGAAATATTAAAGAAAAGCCAGATACATATAATGTATAGTTTGCTTTTCAACATAAAAGACATGTATAAAATGCAAATCTCACTTGATAGAAAGATAAATACAGAAGTGCCAAAATATATACAATCGTATATTTTGATTGTGTCATTTTTTTTTATATCTTTTATTAATTGTAAGGTATGTGAATAATAATTATGTTCAGAAAGAATTATCATAATAGTAAATATTATAAACTTTTGCACTCCTATTTTTATTTTTCTGGTATTTCAATGCAAAATGGTTCCATCCAATGATATATACATATAGTAACATACTTAGGCCAAATAAAAAACATGTTAGTTTCTGATTTTCTCAGGTACATTCACACTTATCTTTCTTCCCTTGTCATTGTGAAGAATACACAGTGCCATTATTTGTATCTTTATAATTCTGCATCCTTTTCTTTTTTACAAGAAAATCAAAATTCTACTTTTGTTACAAGAAATTAAAAGCTCCGAGACTTGCGACAAAACTTATTTGGAAAACCAGAAACATACATACATTTTTTTTGGCCTTGCAACAGTCATCAGAATCTTATTTGAAACATTAGTTTGCATATTATTAAAACTTATTCAAGTTTCTTATTATAATAAATACTGAAGTTTTTCCAAAATTTGGTAAATTCCCAACACAGGCAACAATACATTTCCACTTTTCTCAATGCTGGATAGCAAAATAAAAGCAAGTATGAAAAGGGGGCATAATTTTGCAAAAGCGTTTGACAGACTTACCTGCCCTTGAACGTGAACAAGTATTTTAAAAGTCTGACTATTTTTTAAAATGGTTAATATTAATATGGACACCAAAACAAGGGAGAGGGGCGGGAATTAGTGGCGTCAAAATTGTAAAACTAAAACAGGCAGCAAAAATAATAGTTTACTTGGTGACTGGCCTAGGCTGACTAGACTGTTGCCACAGTTCGATCACTACCGAGGCACTCTTTGGCACCACATAAGAATGTCTCAATATTCAATTCTGATGACTGCTGTGGAAACAAGAGACAAAAAAAAGAATTAACTGAGGAGACCATTGTCAAACAAACCGATACTTGTTAAATATATATAAAAAAATATTTTCATCGCAATTAGAAGAAATATAACTGAGACTCGAATTAAAAGAGATTATCACATTTTCAGGCAATAATTGCATATTAGAGATTAAATATTCCATGAATAAGATAAAATATCTAAATTCAAATGCTTGGTTATAAAGAAAATCTAATACTGTATGCTTAATTATATACATGTTTCAATATTTTACTTTTTTTTCAAAGAAAACAAACTTGTTTTTACGATTTTTTCCTCACATTTCGGTGTCCTCAGAATTCAAGGGAGGTGACTCTGGAAACAAGACAATTAGTGATACATTAATATACCCACCTTTGTGATAAAAAACAATCAAGCACGTCTTTCATCTTACAAACTCTATCTTTCTCAGAATTTTAATTTTCAATTTGTTGTTTGTTTGTACAGAATTTTAAAAAACTTATTGTGGTTCCAAAAAAAATAATAAAGTTTTTCTCTTGTGAACAAAGCTAAAAAGATATTGTATATTGGTTTCCATATTTCTTATCTCAATATGACAATAATCTTACAGACTGAAAGAAATGTTTCAACCCTAATCAAAATTTCAATTCATCCAATATACTAATCATTATCTGTACTGGTGGGGAAAACCCCCCAACATTTTCAGTTTGTATTCGAAATTCCGAAAACATGGTTTAACTAAATTAAACCATGGTATGGTTTAATTAAATTATACCATGGTAGCATAAGATGAAACACGTGCTGATAAAGCAATGGTTGATCATGTGCGGCAGGCTGCTGCAGCTCAAAGTGTCACTTTTTACCTGTCCTATATATCTATACAGCATAAAATACTTTCCTTTGCAAATTTATGATCCGCAGAGATCTATGATCGACAAATTTATGATCGGCAAATTTATGATCGGCAAATTAATGACCTTCAAATTTATGATCGGCAAAGTTAGGATTGTTCCAACAATCTTGGTATTAGGTAAAATAGATAAAATATATGACATGCCCAGTTACCACTTTAAGTCTTTTAAAAAATTATGATTATTCTTATAATTGAAATTTCAGAGTAATCGAAAAAATCCCAGGGCAGTATAGTTTATGTTTTTTGCTTGACCCATTCTTGAGACTGGAACCTGCTTGGGATACCATAGTATGAACGTAAATGTTTGCAAATAAATGTTTGTATTTGGCATAAGATCTTTTTGATAAAACATGATCGCCAAATCAATTCTAACATCAACAAGAACGAAGAAAAGTTTCAGTATAATATAAATACACAATAATTATAAACTCTCGATTCATTTTCGTATTTTCTTCACTGCCGACATGGTGCGTAGAAATTAACTACGTGACAATATCAAATGTCCTATGGAGTAGATACATACAATTTTTATAAAACTTTTGCTATATCGATGGTAGAAATTATGAAGACTTGCTAGCTTAGTCAGAGAGCGTGTTTTGAATAAACAGAAACCAAAATCCCGTCAACAAAAAGTCTGAATGAATCACATGCAGAAAACGAAAAAAAAAAAATGGGAAATAAAAAATCTAAAAGAAGCATGCAGTGTTTTGGTACAGGCAAATAAAAAGCATTCTAAACGTATAAATAACGTAGACCTTGACCCAGACTTAACTTTGAAAAAAAATGGATATATAAGGTATAATGTTTATATAATTATATAACTGACTTTTGTTAACTAGATGTACGAGTATTATATATTAAAACATACACAGGATATAAGTTATAATTATGCAGAGATTTATGCCGACACAGCATTTTAAAGTATACAATAGAATTTTTCTTATTCTTCCAAAATCCAAGGTATTTTGCATCTACTTTAATACAGTCTTCTACAAAATCAGAAATTGCAGATGATAAATACACACTGCTGAATTTACATAATGGCCTTGCCCTGCATCTTAATTTAAGAATGTCCCACACTAGTTAAGATTATCATTAATCCAGTTGCCGAGTAAGACTTCACAAATACGCAGGCTGGTATAGTTTTGAAACTGGCCAGACAACACAAATGTGAAGGCTGGCAAGCAAAAGTTTCAATACTGGTCAGACTAAAGAATTGCAATGTCTGGCAAAGCTTGGACACTGGACAAACAACTTGGATGCACACTGATTGCAAAGGCAAGTCATCTTAGTCCTTATCTCTTAATAACCATAAAGATGATGATGACGACGATGATGAAAATGATGATGATGATAACACATTCTATCTATCATTACTTTTAAGATATTTTGATGATCAATTAAGTCTCATTAAATGATACTGATGATAAATAAAAGTGCTAACAATTTCAATATGCCAATTGTTAACATTCTGAAATTTCTTTTTTTCTTCCATTTCTTTTTTCAAAAATATGGACATATATATATTGATTCAATATATAAAGTAGTGCTAAAATCTGGAACATCATCCAGCAAGTAAAAAAGGTTGGCTGTCTTTTTTTGTCTGCTTACCCTATTAAAATACAGTATTAAATTTTAATGGTATCAACTAAATCATTCTGAGTAAATAATTAATAAATTAAATCTATTTCTTTTTTCTAGTCTCTAAATAAATATATCTGAATATCAGGGGAGGGAACTCATATAAGTACAAAAATCAAGGGGGACAACTAAAGGGATTTTTTACAGAAAAGGGAAAAGAATTATTATAAAGCAACCTGAAAAAACCCAAAGTTTAATTAAAGGAAACAAAGTTGTTAAAGGTGAAATTATCTATATAGGAAAGCCACTTCCAAACTTTTTTGTTACAGAAAACACCAAACAGAAAGATTTTTTCTTCCCTGTGGATTAATCAATCTAACAGAAGGATGAATCGAATTAGAAAAGAAAGGAAAAGTACAAAAATGAACGAAGGGTGATCTGCTGTTGCAAGATGGGAAAAAATGACTCTTAAAACATACATTCAAGCTATTCAAAACTGTTTTTCTGCTTTGAATGCCAATTTTAACACATTTCTGGTCATATCTAAGGAAAAAAAAAAACAGATTGAAATATTCATAGAAATTGTATGAAGAAGTTTGACAACATTGATTCTCAAGCAAAATGGAAAAAGAAAATCAGTTTTCAAAAAAATTATTTTTAGCATGAATGTATGTTTCTTTCTACTGTTAAGTGAAGTGAAGAAAAAAATATGGTGAGGTGGAAAAAGAGAGAGAAAAAATAAGAGAAAAAAAATTACAACATTTACCTATCTAAGGCAAAGTCAAGCAAGTCTTCATAACTTACACCCTCAGAACATTTGTAATTTGCAAGCATTAATGGTGAAGTATCCCATTCCGGTTCCGATAGACTCCTCTCCTCATTCAAAACCACGCTCTTCACCCAAAATGGATCCATTAGATTATAGAATCCAAGCTGTTCTAAACTGCACTTTACGTTTTTAATACCAAATAACTTAAACCCACGCGGAAATGTTGACGAACCCGAGGCCCCGCCCTCACTTGATAAATTCAAGTTTTTACTATCGTTGACCGGAGCTTCGAAAACACTGTCGTCATCGTAATCCATGTCTGTTTCCATAGTAATTGCAAGATTATAAGGTGGGGGCGGGGCCTGCGGTAACTCGGCCAATGAATTTGTTACATGTAAAGATTTATTTGCATTGTTTGTGTTTTCAGGTATAGGAAAAGGTTTTGTATATTTTTCACTTGCTGCAATAATTTCTTTAAATACCGATTCTGATACATGAGTTTCAAATTCATTTTGTAAATTGCCTTTAGAAGTTTCAGACATGCTTTTAGTGACACTTTGAGGTACAACGGAAGATTGTGTTACCGAAACCATATTTTGAGAATTTGGGTTAGAATTTGCATTATCATTAAGCAGAAGCGGGTACTTCCTTTCCCGTGGTTTTATATTAAGACTTACCGTCCTCCGCGGATTACGCGGAGGTAACGGTAAGGGATTACTGGTTATGCTAGAATCACAAATGCTGAAAGACCTGGGAGGTAAAGCTGGAGGGGAACCATTCCCCGAATCTAATGATTCATTTCCCGACTCCTGGAGAACCACATTGGATTGCGTTTGACTCGCATTCCTATCCCTGCCTGTATCCATGGAAACCGAATGTTGTAATGATGATCCGGTTGAGAAGTGAAGTTTGGGGTGACGGAGGGTAGGTTTGTTTGATGTCATACCTGAACCACCTCTGCCGCCACGTACAGGGATCACTCCACCACGAAGCATACGAAGTGGGTTCGTTTCCACCTCCTCCTCATCTGTTGTGACTGTGGCAAAACTTTTTCCAGGTATACCCTGAGGTTCTCGTAAGTTTCTATTTGGTCCGGCATCACCAGCAGCTGTTGCACCAGTCTGGTGATCGAGGGATCGTCGTAACCGACTTTCCCTTGCAAGTTTACTCATTATCTCCCTTGGTGACGGCTGATCAAAGTCTTCCTCGAAAAACGAAAATTTAGAAGCGGATGATTGTGACACATCAGAGGGACTTGTTGATTTTCTCCCAGAGTCTGTGCTTGTGTTTAAACTGTCAATTTTCTCTTCTTGTAAATGTTGAGAATTTCTGTCACTTCGTAAACTTTCTTCTGAATTTTTCCAGTCATCTTCCTTTATCAGTAAAGGATTATCAAATGCACTGTTTGAAGCACTTTCACTACTTATAGCACTAGAAGTGTCAAAGTCTTTAGATGGTATTGGAGGCGGAGCTCGAACAGTCGGTTCAACTCGCACCGTTGGTTCAACTCGCTGAATCTCTGGTCTGGGTTTTGGCACAGGAATTTCTCCACGCTTAGGTAGAGTTGGTGGTGGCACATCCGGTCTGGGTTTCGGTACTGGCCTGTCAGCTCCTCTACTTGATGACCTATTTAAATTTGGTGGGGAAACAGAACTCCTTTCTGATGAATGTCTAGATATATTTCTAACAGGGGTGTCCCTGTCTGGAGTCCTAGATACACTAGAAGACGATGAATCTGCATAGGAGAAATTATGTCCGACACTTCCATTACTAACTAGAGATTCTCTTTTATCAATGTCACTACCATAAGCACCCTGATACCCACGAGAGGTCTCCTTAGCCGACCCATGAACAACTAACATATTATAAGCTTCTTGTGCCTCAGGAGGCACATCATCGTTTTCCTGATTCAAACTGTCCGAAAAAGATCGCTGTCTTTCGTATTTTGGACTACCTCGTTTTATGGACGCCTTAAGTTTTGAAATAAGTCTCGGGGAACTAGAACCGCTGTCGTCAGCTGGTCTGTCCGATAGAGATTCTTGTCGCACCATTTGTGCGCGCTCACTTTGCGTGGCGAACTCGTTTGCAATGTTTATAGCTTCCTCCATCATTTTCTCGTCTGATGTGGACATTGGTTTTACTTTGGCCTGTAACCGCTGAGCTTCGGCCTTGCTTGGTTTTGCCTCCTGCAAGTACATGGATTATACTGCATAGTATAATGAGAAATCAAAAAAAAAAAAATATACCAGTATTTGAAAATATATCCAAAAACCCCAAAAATGATAAACAATTTAAAACTATGTTTTAAATATTCATAATTATGAAATAACAAAAAAATATATATAAGAATTTTGTGAATTTGCGTGCTATCCATTCCGTTATGAGGAAAAAAAAAAATCGAAAAAATTTTAATATTGTTTTTATTAGAAATATTGTTTTTATTAGATATTGAATATATTTGAAATATAAACCAATCGTGACCTTAGTAGAACATAATTATGTGCATGCAATGTTCTCATGCAAAACCCTTCACAAAAGTCAACCAAATCCAACCAATCATTTAACAACAATACACCAGGGATCTCCTTATTGATAAAAACTTCCATTTAGAATACATGTACTTTCCCTTAATATCAGTATATTAATTTTCTATAGATTATCCCCTAATACAATCCCAAGAATACAATATAAACTCAAAATCGTTCCATATCTCATTTCTGTAATCTATAATTTGATGAAATAAACATGAAATTGTTTGAATTTTGTAAATTTGACTTTATGGTTAGATAAGAATGAGTTTGTTAAATTTGAAACAACTTATTGAGAAAATAATAGGAAAATAAAAAAAATTAATGAAAACAATTATTTTATTTCTATTACAATTATCCAAGTGCAACTGTACCTACGGGAAATCATCCTTCTCAACTCAGATATTAGTATTATTGTATATTATATAGCATAAATTTAAATTATATATTTACCTTCAAAAACTACTGTTCAACATTTTAAGACTGTGACTCAGAGTTTTAATACTTAGACTATATTTTTTAAACTAAGATTCAATGTCTTTTAGACTGAGACTTTACATTTTCAGACTAAGACTCATCATATCTTTAGACTGAGGACTAAAGACTCAATGTTTTATATACTGAGACTCAAAAGTTTTAGCCTGATACTCATAATTTTTAGACTGAAGCTCAACATTTTTTAGACCGAGATTCAACATTTTTAGACTGAGAATCAACATTTTTTAGACTGAGACAAACCATCTTTTAGACTGAAACTAAACAGTTTTAGATGCAGACTAAATGGTTTTTAGACTGAGGCTCAACAATTTTACACTCAGATTCAATATTCTTGGACTGAGATTTAATATTTTTAGACTGAGACCCAATATTCTTAAACCGAGATTCAATATTTTTAGACTGAGACCCAATATTCTTAAACCGAGATTCAATATTTTTAGACTGAGACCCAATATTCTTAAACCGAGATTCAATATTTGTAGACTGAGACCCAATATTCTTAAACCGAGATTCAATATTTTTAGACTCAAAGATTCAATATTTTAAGACTGAGACTCAACATTTTTTGACTGAGACTCAACATTTTTAGCCTGACAATCAACATTTTTTGACTGACACTCAACATTTTACACAACTCTTTTAGATGTGTCTCATTATTTCATGAGGTTACATTCATTTGACCAATCATGAAACATTTCACTCTTTTGATCTTAAATACAAGACAAGTGGGACCAGATTCCATTTTAAAATTGTCCATTTTCATGTTTGGGAATATTAAGATGAAAACTTAAAGCATTGCACCTGGTCAGGCAGCACAGATGTGCAGACTGGTCTGGCTTTAAACTGGTGGCAAATGTTCCAGCAAAGTTATTGTTTAAAAACAATTTCCTTCTAAAAGATTACATTTATTCTATCTACATCATATAAACTATATGTTTTTGTAAGATTTTTAAGTTATTTAGTTTTTGTGCTGTAAGTGAGTGAAGAGTGCCAAAATCTTTAAAACTACTTTTATAAAACTGACAGGAAAATCTTTCACAAAGAAACTACATGTATTACTATGAGAAGAGAAAAAATTTTCTATTAGTATCGCAAAAGTTTTGAAAAAGAAAAATATAAAATAAATTCAAACACTTGGAAATGCTGGCTTAATACAAGGCCTGCAACTGTGAAAATACTACAAGTATAGAGAACACTGGTTACCTCCCTTCCATTATATACAAAACATTTTGAATGTTCTTTGCAGCATTAGAAATTATTTTTCTTTTATGTTTAATAGCAAATGATTAAATTAACAAAGGAAAAGTTTAAATTTTTCTTTTAGTTTTTAACCAAGGCGACTAAAAATAAAATTTGTTTAAAAAATAATAAAAAACCTTTAACTGAGATGATAAAAATAAAACATGCTTTAATTTTTTTTTTTTATAAAATTGACATTTTCAAGTAAATTTTGAGTTTAAATGTTTGCAAATTAATCAAAATCAATGTATGAATTGTAACATGGATGTTATTATGAAACCCTTAAATCATACCAGGAAATTACATTCCATTTTTATTAAAGGAGCTCCACTGAGGTCAAAGAGCCTAAAAACATAAAATTTGAAATTCTTATATAGATCAAACGAAGTACTTAAATTGGAAAACCCTGCAAAGGATAATAAAGAAATATATTTAAATTAAATTGAATATTGATTTTTTGTGTGGTAACCTTAGCCCAATTTGAGTTAAAAGCATTGCAACACTTTAGGGTTATTTTGCACAATAAAAATTATAATTCTGGAAAAACAGGGTGAAGAAATGATCTGAAAATCAGTACAAAAGTTACTGGAAAAAACCTACATCAAATGGTACAAAAATTTCAGAAAAATATTTCCAGTTGCCTCATATAAAAAAAAAACCTCAGTGAAGTCCCTTTAAAGTCTTTTCTCGAGCTTTAGGAATTTTTCATTTTTTCCCCCAGCATGACAGAGCCCCTTGCCCAAGCATTTCCAAGATTGATAATAGCTGGGTGTGTGTTTATTGTCTTTTATCATAATGAGAGTACAAGTGTCACTACAAACAACAAACCTTGTGGCTAGGAAATCTCCGCGGAGCCTTCAGTTAGCAACAAAGAAAATAAATAAAAATACAAAATTCAACATTTATATATATTTTGTATCACCAAAAGTTCTACATAAAATGGCAAAGAATGGCAACAATATACAAAAACAACTTTACCATGTTAAGTTATTAGAGAAGGAAATAAAAATATTTTGTTCTAAGCCCATAAACATTTAATATATATACCCAAGTTCTGCCTCATATACCAAAACATTAGTAACCATTTGTCAATAGTAAACTCTTTTACTTATACAGAGACCCATCCATAAAAAAAACCCCCCAAAATACACTTAAAATCACCAAGAATTTAAACAAAACAACCCTAGTAGCTCTAAATCACTATTTTCAGAATTTACAGTTTTAACAATTTCTTGACCCTTTACATTATATTATTGAGTAATCCCCAACTTCTGACATCCCCTGATTAATAAATTTTCCACCTTTCCATCTTCTCAAAGTCTAGTCAATCTTTCCCCCATTTTACCAATCATGGTTAGTTTACAATCTATCAAACATATCACTACCTTTTATACTTTTTTATTACAAAAGAAATCAACATTTTCCAAACAAATGTTAAAAGTAAGTCACAAGTATAAGTACCGACAAATAACCTCTAGAAAACACATAAAAAACTTATATATTATCATAAATTTATATCATGCAAAGAAAATTTTGAATAAGTTAAGACTAGCACCTAAAATGCTTGTTATTCTAGCGTGAAATAGTTTTATTCTCTGATTTCATCTATATTCATGCAATCAACCTTGATTATATAAATGATGTAAGCACATATATATGTGTGTGTTTTTGTACTTACCACTCTCGGAGGCTGTGTAGGCAGTGGGGGTGGTGGGGATCGAACCTCTTTTGGTGGAGATACCGACAAACTTCGTTCTGCAATAGGAGAAGCCATATCTTCTTTAGAACTCGTAGACTGTTTCTCGTTATTTGACTCGAGCTGGGTTTCCTTCTCACTGAGCGCTTTAAGTACCTCATCCATGAAAGATCCACCGAAATCAAACGAAGACTGTAGAGAAAAGTTTATAGTTATCTTCATAAGAATAAGTAACTTTTTCATAAAACTATAGTTATTGAAAGCGCACGAAAAGAGAATAGTGATTCATTGTTAATATTTACCTAAGGAAAGGGTCATGTCAAACTGCGATATCAAAGTAATGTAATTTTGTATTTTGTTGTCAGAGATTAAAATAACCCCATGTGGTCACCCGAATAAAAATTTGACATAAATGGAAGACCCATTTTTGGCATTTCCTTCAATATTTAAATGATACACAAGTCATTCAACAGCAATTTTTAGATTTGATAAAAGTTTTACGAAAGTATCTCAAGTTTGAGTCATCTCTCACATTTTCATGCTTTGGATATAGAAAAAAACATTTTTCTTCTTTAATCATTAATTACAAAAACAGCATGTTTTCGACTACAAGATAAAATATGTGACGTCAGCAAATCAGCATGCTCTTTTTAGAAACACTTCAAAAAACCTTAAGAACTTAATACACCACTGTTTTTTTGCTTCTTTCAAGGCAGTAAATGCATACAATATAAAGTTTTTCAAAATTAATGTTATTGTTCATTTTACTTCAGAATACAAATATTGCATGACAAACTTATTAGATTTAAACATCTTTTTGAACCCTATACATGTTCTATACTGTAAAATGGCTTTATGAAGATCAGTCCATGTTTTCGACTACAAGATAAAATATGTGACGTCAGCAAATCAGCATGCTCTTTTTAGAAACACTTCAAAAAACCTTAAGAACTTAATACACCACTGTTTTTTTGCTTCTTTCAAGGCAGTAAATGCATACAATATAAAGTTTTTCAAAATTAATGTTCTTGTTTCTTTTATTTCAGAATACAAATAGTGCATGTCAAACTTATTAGTTTTAAACATCTACTTGAACCCTATACCTGTTCTTTAATGTACAACGGATTTGTGAAGATCAATCTATTAATGTTTTATAGGATTTCAATATAAAAATCTAAAAATAGAGCCGAGTCGGACAACATAGATGATGCAGTCTGGCGCGGCCCTACTGGCCTCGCTCTATACTGGTGGTAAAAGGTAAACACTTTCGTTTCCAGCATGTTAAGCGTTCACTTAATTTTCAAGACTTATCAATATTTCCTTACCCCAAGATCTGGCATTTTGAAATCAGCAAGGATAGAGTCATCGTCTATATCTAAATATCCATCAGCGTGGTCGTCTCGTTCGTCTGTCCGTCCGGTAGACTGTGACTCCAGCGACTCTACACTTATCCTGCAAAAGAAATACACAAGAAATAAAATAATTTTTGTTTCATTTCAAATTTGATTACCTCCCTTACACCATATATTTGACAACTATATAAGGATTTAAGTTTTCTAGATATTCCATAATATAATGAAATTGTCAAAAACAAGTCATTTTAACTGAACTTGCATTTACTCAGGAATTTTTCCAGCCCTTTCCCTAAATTTGGTGGGGGTGGGGACATGGCACTTTTGCAAAAAGGGAAGACAAACTTGGATTTTAATCAAATTTAATGGGTGAAATTACAATTTTCAAATATTTTTTCAATATACACAGGAATAATTAACTGCAACATTTGTTTTTGTTGTTGTTTTTTTTAGTGTTTTTTTTTTATTTTTTTTTTTTTTTAAATTTCATTTTTGCTTTGTTTTTCATTGGTATTCTTTTTACTTTATTATCATTCAGAAACACTTGTATTTTCCATATTTTTTAAGTCAAGGAATCCAAAAAACAACATCCCCAATATCAGATGTAGACTATAAAACATATCGTAACAACCTTGCTTTATCAAAACTAGATTATCTTTAAAGTTATTTTCATGTATTAATTTCTATATTTCTGCAGACTAAGATTGTTTTATTGTAGCATAAAATTTGCTCTCAATTCATTCTTTGCCAAATTTAAAGAAACATAACTTACATTACTATGCCATGACAAAACCAACATAATGCGTTTGCGACCAGCACGGATCCAGACCAGCCTGCGCATCCATGCAGTCTGATCAGGATCCATGCTGTTCGCTATCAGTTTCTCTACTTGTAATAGGGTTTGTAAGCGAACAGCATGGATCCTGATCAGACTGCGCAGAAGCGCAGGCTGGTCTGGATCTGTGCTAGTCGCAAACGCATTATGTTGGTTTTGTCATGGCACTGCTCAAATCTCAAGTTCTTACAATGTAGGTTTTCAGAACACCTTTCAGTCAATTGTCTTCCAACTTGTACCATGCTTAATATTTCAAATGGACCCATCCTTATTTCAATATGGATTAAACCAGTTGCCGCTCTTATGGATTTTTTTTCAAACTTAATAGCAAACAGTGCAGACCATGAAAGATTACACTGATATGCCTGATTGATTTTGGTCTGCACTAGTCACATGGATAGAATCAGTTGCTTCCAGAAGACTCAAGATTATATCAGAATTTTCAGAATTAAAAAGTTTATTTCAGGATAAAATTTCAACTTAAATATGGTTCAAGTGAAGATTTAGCATATCTTTCAACCACATAAATTGCACTTTTAATAGGGCCCTGCTTATCACATCCATCAGCCACTTAAATTTTACAGTAATAGGGCTTAGCTCATCATATCTTTCAACCACTTAAATCCCACTTTCATAATTCTGAGGTACAAAAACATAGGTGCAAGTTAAAAATAATATAAGAATACCTGAAAACCATGAATTTAGCATTATGAATGTTTTATATAGGAAAAGAAGGCTTTCAAGAGTAGAAAAAACCTGAACTTCAGGCAAATGGTACCACTGCAAAAATGTATAAACACTTTTTCAGTTTTGATGAATTTGATTGAAGCACAATGTTCTTACCATGATCTACCAAAACCATTAGTTTTATGTCCTGGTCCACCATTCAAGGACGAGTCGGATAGGCTTAGCTTAACTTCCCTATCTGGACTGTCTGACATCCGGGTCAGGTTAATAGAATTACGGCTGTCGTCTAGTTTACCTGTACAATATATGATATATTGATCAAAATATAGATTAAAATTTGTCTAAAACTTTGTTTTGATGAGACACTTAAAATACCATATGTTGACTTTCTTACTTTTTATAGTGGAGGAAGACCATAGGCGCTGCCCTTCCATGAATTTTTGCCATAAGCATGCAATTTGTGTAGAACCATTGACCTTCAAAAAGGTTACACTGGCACTTTAAATGTATTATGGTTATTTTCAGACTTACTAGTTGTGGAAGACCATAGGTGCCCTCCAACACAAGCAGGCACCACACCTAGAACCACCAACCTTCCATTAATAAACTCGCTGGACAGCTTACACACACAAAAGAAATCTTAATTCTCTATCAAGATTTAAACTGACTGTGGAAATGAGCAATGACATGCAAAGGAAAAAGACCATTAGTCACAAGTGTGCTTAAAAACATCTGTTTCTTTCTTTTTTTTAACTCCTATTTACTTCTTCTTTACAAGCACTGCTGCAACCATAGAAAATTATTTTTTTCAAAACATTCATCAGCAATACCTGTTAACCATATATATCTAAAATAAATTACCTACAAAAAATTTAAACTGAAATGTAAACAAAACAATTTTTAATTCAGCTGTTTTAAGTTTTAAAACAGACGTTGTTAGGGTAAATAACAAGAGCTGGAATAAGTTCATTATCTTACATACTGCACCTAACAGGAGAGGTTATTGACAGATATTGCTCCCTGTTAAACAGATGTTTCCTACGGAGATAGTTGCAGAAATTCTGCATTTTGCACCTGTCTTTATGATAGTTGTTCCATTAATTGTGATGATAAATGTCTTACAAACAAGATTACAACACAACAAGATGTCGCCTATTTTGCAAAATTATGGGTTTTCTGTTTTTTTTCTCTCTGTTTTTACACCAATTTTTACACATTACTTGGTCATATCTCAGGGTCAATCCACCAAACTCGTTTTTTTGGATAACTAACCAGCATTATCTGATCATATCTCAGGAATGATCCATCAAACTGGTTTACCTGGATAACTAACCAGCGTTATCTGATCATATCTCAGGAATGATCCATCAAACTGGTTTACCTGGATAACTAACCAGCGTTATCTGATCATATCTCAGGATGGATCCACCAAACTGGTTTACCTGGATAACTAACCAGCGTTATCTGATCATATCTCAGGATGGATCCATCAAACTGGTTTACCTGGATAACTAACCAGCGTTATCTGATCATATCTCAGGGTCGATCCACCAAACTGGTTTACCTGGATAACTAACTAGCATTATTTGGTCATATCTCAGGGTCAATCCACCAAACTGGTTTACCTGGATAACTAACCAGCGTTATCTGATCATATCTCAGGAATGATCCATCAAACTGGTTTACCTGGATAACTAACCAGCGTTATCTGATCATATCTCAGGAATGATCCATCAAACTGGTTTACCTGGATAACTAACCAGCGTTATCTGATCATATCTCAGGAATGATCCATCAAACTGGTTTACCTGGATAACTAACCAGCATTATTTGGTCATATCTCAGGGCCGATCCACCAAACTGGTTTTTCTGGATAACTAACCAGCATTATTTGGTCATATCTCAAGGTCAATCCACTAAACTCGTTTTTCTGGATAACTAACTAGCATTTTTTGGTCATATCTCAGGGCCGATCCACCTAACTGGTTTACCTGGATAACTAACCAGCATTATTTGGTCATATCGCAGGGCCGATCCACCAAACTGGTTTACCTGGATAACTAACGTACATTATTAGGTCATATCTCAGGGTCGATCCAACTAACTGGTTTACCTGGATAACAAACCAGCATTATTTGGTTATATCTCTGGGTCGATTTCCTTGATAACTAACCAGTAATAACAAATTTCTAGGCAATTGACCGACTACTATTCCTACAAGATTACTAATACTGAATTAGTGGTGAAATTTGTATATTCTTTTTTTTCCACCTCAATAATAAATATTTACATTAACTGTTTATATCTACCAACTACATAATAGAAATATTTACATAAACTAACTACAACCTCAATTTATTATGTTCCCTTTACTATTATATACGTATTTACCACCTCATTTTTTTGTTAATATCTGAAATAATGGTTATTTATCTCTTTAAGCTTATGTTAAAATGCACTTCTTGAATTTCTCAATTAATGTTAATGAGATCAGATTGGAGTTAGTGTCATACAACTATTTGTCAACTGCGTGTTCGTATCTCTCATCTCTCGAAACATTCGGCTCGGCAAATCGTTTGAAGTTTGAACCCACAATTTAAGCTTGAAGGGCTTTTTAACACATAATCACACAAGATCTTATTTTGCAACGTATTGATTTACATAACACATTGAAAATTTACCAAAAATTACCAAAATTAAACACATTGAAAACTAGATCTTGAAATACACTGAATTAATTCACTATATATTTTTGTCTGAGTCAGGTGAAATTTTATTATCAAGAAATAAAAAATGTTGGGATTTGTAATAAATTGAAAAAGAAAAGTTCAGTCAATTAAGAAACAGGTAATTAACCTATGACAAAATAAAGACATGAAATAAAGATTTTAACCTTTTTAATTGATATCATAAAAAAAGATGAACTTTAAGATAAAGCATGGGCAATAAAATTGCTGTAAAATGACTTTTGTATTTTTTTCTCCATTTAAAAGCTTTTTTCAAAGAAACGCCACCACCTTTTTAATTAATTACATCACACAAAAAGAAATAGCATGAAAAATGCAATGCTCCCATCCTAAACTGTTCACAAAATTCTGATGAAATTTTGTACTTTAAAAATTTCTGACCTTGTACTTCAATGTCATGTGGGTCAAAAGATCATGCTTCAAAATACTTAAGACAAAATAAATATTGTAAACAGTTATGTTGTGTCAATAAACAAAGTATGTACATTAAAACTGTTTACGGACAAGATCAGAAGAACAATTCCCATTTCAATCTACCAAACATTTCAGGTGGAGCATGCATTACATAAAGAACTGCAAGTCATTGAGGATTTACAAGTATATTAGGTATATGCTGAAATCGCCAAAGGAATTGGGACGGTATATATCAGCAACACATTTACCTATTGAAGCAGTTTTAACTGGCAGTTTATCATAATTATCGCCAATAAAGCCAACATCACCGAATACGGCACCATCATATCCTATATGACCTGTATGACGTAGATCATTCTGAGGTCGGCTTATCATGTCGGGGCGGATCTTCTTACTTGCAGATCTCTTTGAATCTGGAAAAAAAAATAACAAACTTTACATAGCTTTCGCAACAAATTATTACATCTATTCCATAGCAAGAAGACATATACACCATTTAACTAAGAGAAAATTCTAGTCAAGTTTGATCGAAAGTAAATTTGTTAATAATGAGCTTTAAAGCAGGATGTTTTTACAAAACAGCGGTTGCCTGGTTATGTCATATTAGAGTCACAACCAAATTTACCAGCTGGTTCCTCCAGAATGTACTCAAGACATGACTACTGAGCAATATACAAATTTGTTTCATAATTAACATTCCATAAATATATTGAAAACCACAGTGTTTATAGGCATACAAAGGACAGGTGAAGAAAAATTCAGCAATCCTTAAAAGATCACCACTGAATAATTTACTTTACAACACAAGGGAGGTAACCAAAGTGTCTTGGATGCTGATCAAGTTATGACAAATCATGACAAATCACAATTTCACAGACAAAATGCCTATTACACCATAACAAATCATTGAATTGCAACCAAAATAAAATCTGACCTGTATTTTCATATTATTTATTCATACTTGCATATCAAATATGAATTCAATTGATAAAATGGTCCTATAGAATTTATATTATGGACGATATTTAATGCAAATAAAAGGGACAAAAAAGCGTATTTCCAAAATAGTTGTTATCATACTGAAAGGTAAAATTTGTGATACCATACACCTGCAATGTTTTCTTATCAAAAACATTTTTTGCTGCATTCAAGACTTTTATAACTTTTCATTTCTGTTGATATTATGTAAATACAATCACTTACTTAAAGTCACGCATATAAATTGTGCAATAAAACTTTGCTACATGCTCTAGTTAATGCTGTGCTTGTTTTTCTTGTTCAGCTTTTAAGTTTTAATACAGCAAAAAACTACAATGTTTTCTTGGGTTTTAGGTGACAATAACTCTGTGAAAGTCATTATACCTATATTGCGACTTTTCAGTTGGACTGAAGGAGGAACCCCCCACACCCCCAGATGACCCTTTGTATATTATTTCAGGCAGCGTTAGCCGGGACCAGAGTAGAACCACCAACCTTCAATAACCTAGCCGGATACTCAGCCAAAAAAGTGAAAGACTCCGGATCCCAGATAGGATTTTAAACCCAGATTGGCAGTTTGATTGAGGAGATCCATTAAGAGTTGAATATGTTAACCACTTACATAATGAACAAGAGGGCCATGATGGCCCTGAGGTCGCTCACCTGTATATAGGCCCCCCAACCCCCACCTCCCCCCCCCAAACGTTGCAGGGCCAATTTAACCCAAGGGCTTTTATTTGCACAAACTTGGTAGACACCCATAAGAAGATGTTTCATGCTAAACATCTAAGCTCTAGCTCATTGGGCTTTTTAAAAGAAGATTTTTTTTAAGTTTTTACTATACACATATAGTTAAAAACAATGACACCCCTGGGGCCGGGCCAGTTTTGACCCCAGGGCTTTTATTTGAACAAACTTTGTAGACACTCACTAAAAGATGTTTCATGCTTAATATCTTAACTCTAGCTATTTGGGTTTTTTCAAAGAAGATTTTTTAAGTTTTTGCTATACACATATAAGGAAAATCAATGACCCCCGGGGCGGTGCCAATTTTGACCCCAGGGCTTTTATTTGAACAAACTTGGTAGACACCTATTAGAACATGTTTGATGCTAAATATCTTAGCCATAGCTCTTTGAGTTCTTTAAAAGAAGATTTTTTAAGTTTTTACTATATGCATATAGGGAAAATCAATGACCCCCCGGGGCGGGGCCAATTTTGACCCCAGGGCTTTTATTTGAACAAACTTGGTAGACACTTATTAGAACATGTTTCATGCTAAATATCTTAGCTCTAACTCTTTTGGTTCTTTAAAAGAAGATTTTTTTAAGTTTTTACTATATGCATATAGAAAAAATCAATGACCCCCTGGGGCGGGGCCAATTTTGACCCAAGGGCTTTTATTTGAACAAACTTGGTAGACACCTATTAGAACATGTTTGATGCTCAATATCTTAGCCATAGCTGTTTGAGTTCTTTAAAAGAAGATTTTTTAAGTTTTTACTATATGCATATAGGGAAAATCAATGACCCCCTGGGGCGGGGCCAATTTTGACCCCAGGGCTTTTATTTGAACAAACTTGGTAGACACTAGATGTTTCATGCCAAATATCTAAGCTCTAGCTCTTATGGTTTTTTAATAGAAGATATTTAAAGTTTTTTCTTTTGGTTGCCATGGCAACCAGAGTTCTGCATGGAATTAAATTCTTTGAACAATTTTTAAAGGTGACCACCAAAGGAACATTCCTGTGAAGTTTGGATGAAATTGGCTTAGTGGTTTATGAGAAGATGTCATTTAAAGTAAAAGTTTACGGACGGACGATGGCCGGACGAAAAGCGATCACAAAAGCTCACCCTGTCACTTTGTGACAGGTCAGCTAAAAAGAGACAAACTTAAACATTCTATTATGTCAATATATACTGCACATTAAATGCAGTCCATTTTTTTATGCATTCAATTTACCTTCACAATAAACCACAGTAGATAAAGGCAAAATTTTCCACGGAATACAAAAAACCTGTCTTACATAATATGCTCATATATTAAGAACAGTATCAACCATTTAGCCAAGTTATTCATTACAGGTTATCTTCAGGTTTTTTTTAGTTTATATAACATTACATTTAATGCTACTTTTCCCCCTTTTCTTTAACCTTATAAACTTTCCTGCATTTGAGTAATGAGCTTTGAATTTGAACAGTCCATATTTTACTCGAGGGAATTTAATATCAGAGTACTGAATTACAGCACCTGGCAGTATAGAGACTAGTCGGGGAGGTGCGGTGGTGTTGGTAGATTATGCACCAGATCACGGCAATAAGCCACAATGTATTTACCAGAGCACAATTCAGTCAGGACAGAGGTACAGTGTGGTGTGTGAATGGCCGTAGAAAGGATTTCATGATTAATCACAAGGAGAGTGACCTGCAAGGAATCAAACCAGGGTCACCCGATGGACGGTCAAATGCTCTACCCTATTGTGCTAAACCAGAGGGCTTTTGCAAGGTGGTGCACAGACATACATTGCTCTTATACTGTAATGGCATATACCTTGTATGATCAAGAAAAGCACTGGCTTCATAGGCAAGCAACCATCAACCCAATGGTTGAACCCTTAACCTCCTGAATTTCTTAAATGAACTTGTCCAGCTTCAATTTTGAGGGATAATAAGATGAAAATTTGAAGTTTAACGACCAACGGTGGTGTAGAGCCTAATCACTTTTGCTTTCAGCTGATTAAATAAAAGTTTAACTCTTTGAATGCCAGTGGCTAAGACTGGATGCTGTCAGTTTAGAGCCAGGCCTTACAGCACATTGGTTCAGTCTGGACCACATTTTATTTTGTCGGCTGCCGAGTTAGAACAATGCTGAGTTTCCCTAATTCAGAGTGGGACTTGTCCATTATTGAGAATTTAGGGATGTGTGGGATAATATCAACTTACTGATAAATATGAGTCACCTTGTTATTTATAAAGTACACACCTATTTAAACTTATTCTTGGCAAATGAACAACATTTTGTTTTAAAAGTGCATAACATATGATAAGGATAAAAACAGAATTTCTTGTTTACATTACATCTTAAAGTTTGATAACACTTGTTTTCAGCAGAATTTTTCCTTCTTCCCTGACAGTTATAGTTTATAAATTAACTAAACATTCCTCAATTTGGGTTGTATAAAGCAGGAATTAAATTAGACCCAAAATTGTTTTTGTTTGTTGTTTGGGTTTAACGCTGCACTAACACTGCTAGGGCCATATGGCGGAGGAAGACTTCAGGTGCCCGTCATTGACCTTTACCACTCAGCCATGTACATTTTGTACACCTTTAATCTGAAATCTAAAGAAATACTTACATTGTCAGAATGATGTTTTTAAAGCCTAGTATTTTTGTGTGTCAAGGATAGTATATTATTTTCAATCAAACCTCTCAGTTTCCTTGCTGACTTACCTTTTCTTGTGATTGACTTTTTTGGTGTTCCCCCATCAGGGCTACTCTTTGGTTCTATGAAAGGGACTGTATTGCAGGGGTCAAAATATCCCACTTTTCCACTGGTTAGTGCACCCTTCCATAAACCTGGCACAGGTGGATGTGAAGGTCTGAAACATAGTAGTGATAATGAAGGTGAACATAAAGATTTAACAGATGTCTTTTCTTAATATTGGTATTTCTTATAGTGGATACCAACTTACCAATAGCCATCAATATAATATGTGACCAGCAGTCGGATATGTTCCTACCAGTCAGTACACAACTAAATGTACAAAACTTGACCAAAAAATTACCAGACAATCATAATAACGCACATTAAAATTGTTCATTCAAGGTAACACTGATACTGGCATTCCGACTCTACTTGTTAAGTTAAGGAAACCCTTATGTGCAACTCTTAGCATGCTTAATTTCATGCACAAGCGAACACTCCATTAAAAATTTAGCAAACATACGTCATCAGCCATTAAAGTGCATAGAAAATACAAAATTATCTGTTAATAAAGCGAGACTAAAACACTAAAAGCCAATTGTAAAGAAGACTATCTTCTTTCCAGATTATCTCGATACATTTGAAAAGAAGACTATCTTTTTTCCGGATTAACTTCATACATTTCCTATTATACAAATAAATGTCCTTCAATCTCTTAAGCCAAAGACATTACAGTCGGAAGGCTATTTAATGAAGTTTTACTATCTCCTTAACCATCATTAAGTGGACCAGCCGAGTTATTTCTTTTAAACATTACAAACAAGGTCCTGATCAACGTCCTTATCTAATCGACCTTAAACCTTGCAAAATCAATACATTTCAATATCGCTGAGTAATAATTTCCCGTCGTGTTTATGTTTTTCCCCTTTATCTTTTCAATTAAGTGTATTTCCTTATGACTAAAAAGAGATGGCAATCAATGGATTTACTTTATCAATTATTGTACTGCATTTGAGTGCATTTATTGTAATTTTATGTTCTGTCTAACTAATGCTATGTAATGTCTATGCATACATTTTATTTCTAGGAAAAACACATTTACATCATAATGTTAACAGAGAATCACTGAAAACTTCGGTGAACTTATGATGCAACTGGTAATAAGCAAGCCCAGACCCCCCATCCCCGAACTTGAAATGACTCAAAATTAAACAGTTAGCCTCTGAGGTCAATTCTAGTATTTCAACCTAACCTTAAACATTACATGTGTAGAAACTATTGAGTTATATGACCTTGACTATCAATAATTAGAATCACTCAAGCAAGTTTACACCCAATAACCACAAATTTCTGGCAGGCAGTGTCATGTTAACAGAATCAGCAGGGAAAGGGTAAATGTGGGTGTGCCTTATAATATATTATAATGCATCAGTCTGTTGTAACAAAGGACTCCCCACTTCTTGGGAGTAGTGGTAGCGAGGACTTTTAAATAATCATATCCCTGGTTAAGGCTCTGCACAGCTGGGATAATCCGATGGTTATTTCCTACTAAAATGACCCTCAAAGTAACATATCATGTAATTTCCCTACTAAAATGACCCTAAAAGGAACATATCATGTAATTTCCCTACTAAAATGACCCTAAAAAGAACATATCATGTAATTTCCCTACTAAAATGACCCTAAAAGGAACATATTGTGTAATTTCCCTACTGAAATGACCCTAATAGGAACATATGTAATTTCCTTACTGAAATAACCCTAAAAGGAACATATGTAATTTCCCTACTAAAATGACCCTAAAAGGAACATACCATGTAATTTCCCTACTAAAATGACCCTAAAAGGAACATATGTAATTTCCCTACTAAAATGACCCTAAAAGGAACATATCATGTAATTTCCATACTAAAATGACCCTAAAAGGAACATATGCAATTTCTCTACTTAATTAAATGACCCTAAAAGGAACATGTCATGTAATTCCCCTACTAAAATAACCCTAAAAGGAACATGTCATGTAATTCCCCTACTAATATGACCCTAAAAGGAACATAATTATGTAATTTCCCAGTACTAAAATGACCCTAAAAGGAACATGTCATGTAATTTCCCTATTAAAATAACCCTAAAAGGAACATATGTAATTTTCCTACTAGAATTATCCTAAAAGGAACATATGTAATTTTTATACTCAAATGACCCTAAAAAGAACATATTTTGTAATTTCCCTATTAAAATGACCCTAAAAGGAACATATCCACATTATTTTTGTGCAAAAGAACAGGGACACATTGATCAGACAATGTAGAGATTAGACTCAAAGGTAAAACCCCCAACACAGGTGGGAAGGGCCAGATTTACAATTGATCATTGTAGTAATGTACTTCAATAAGCTGGACAACATGTCAGGACCAAGGTTCTATTTATAGAAATTAAATTAAGGTTATGATGTGTTTAAAATACAGAGATCTTCTGTCGAGGACTCAGGTTCTATTAATGTTAAACAGTACTTAATGTATGTTGATCATTTATATTTATATCAAATGACTCACATCAACCTTTGTTTACTATCCTAAAGTTCAAATAAGGACACCAGCTATAGGTAGGCATTTATTTACTGTATTCCTAGAAAAGATTTCGCGCATTTTAAGTTAGCGCTTTTCGCGGTAGGCATGATTCCGCGAATCTTAATAGCCGCGAATATGTCACTTTTAACAAATCCGCGAACATTTCTAGCTTCAACCAAATATAACATAAAAAGTGCAGAATATTTATTATAATCTACTTATACAAAAAAAACAACATAAAAACACAGGCGCTATAGAAATGTGTAAAGAATTATTTATGTATGTTATTGATACTAGTTGCACGCTGAAAAAGAAAATATCAATTATTAGTAATTATCATGCTTATTGACGGTTAGTCAGGGCGTTGACAAACGCATTTACAGTTTGTGAACATTGAATGACTTGGATTTTATTTGCTTGGAGTAGGTGTAATCCTTTGTTAAAAGTACAATAGCGATATTGATAAACAACTGTTATGTTGTTATAATGAAAGCAATGTACAGCCCGACAATGTGTAAAAATTACGTATCGACATTTTGAAGAAAAAGTCAGTTATGATTCAAATGAGAATAAAAGCTAACGGGTCTGACTAAATCTTACTTAATCACATAATGAAAAAGGTAAGGAAACATGAAAGTAGTCAATAGATGAACATGTATCGAGTAACGGTGCGCTTTAGGCGCGACTTGTCAAAAAAATAAAATAATTCAAAGCACCCAACAGACAAGGTCATGCATCAAAAACGTAGCCTCCAAAAACTGTAATTTAGGCCGTAGCGACTTAACATTCGCGGAATTCGCGGTTACTACATATCCGCGAAAGTTTGTCTCCGCGAAAATGCCGACGTTGTAAAAAACGCGAAATATTGTATCCGCGAAGATTTCTAGGAATACAGTATATTAAGCACATTATAACATACAATACAATCAAGGCTTTCTGTAATCAAGATATTACACAAAATCTTTGATGATTTTATTTAAGATCTTATCTCACAGAATATGGTGTAAATTTGTACAATTTCAATTGTAATTTAAAGCAGCATGTCTCCATACAATATCATGTGTCACGCTCAAGATACAAGGTTACAAAAAACTTTTTTCTGAGATCTGTCTTGAATCTTAGTATTTTCATTTTGTCAGATACTCAATGCTCATTGTGTGCTGGTTTAGTTTAGTTTAGGCCATCCTTAAAAAAATGTTTGTTTGCAGTAACCCGACCCAGAATTTTCAAGGTGGGTAGGTAGGTCGATTTTTTTTTTTTTTTTTAATTGAACTGTACACTCAAATAAACATGGAATTTCAAAATGCTGGACAAAATATGCTTTGATAATCTGGTAACAATTAATAAATTGATAACTGAATTCTTATTTAATAAGAACTACATTTTATTTCTTCTATTAACCTTTAAAAGAACGAAAACAAAGCACAAGGCATAATTTTCTGATTCAAAAAATTATTTTTTTAAGGATGGTCTTATACAAATTTATTAATATTTCAGTTTGATTGAGTTGAAAGCTATAAGCTTATTGAAACATTCTCGAATCCGTTCCTGGAAGCAACCAGTACTAAGCAATAAATGTAAAGTTTCTTCCTCAAGGAAACATTGGCTTGCCTCTGACAGGCTTTGAATCCCACGCTGTCAGCAATCCTAGGATTTCTAGTCTGACGTGTTAACCACTCGGCCAGCGCCATGCCGCTGGTTTAAGTGGTTTCTGACCAATCAAATACCTGCGATCTGAGTTTGAGCTTAAAAAAATTCTTTATACCCAGGTCAAGGGCTCAGTTCATAAGACATAAAGTTCTTTCTATCAAGTCAACTGCAAGGGCCCGATCACAGTATATAAACATGTTGGTTGCATCATTATTATATTAATAATGTATAGCCCAAGTATAAGCTTCACTTACGTTTTATCGAGGACAGAAATGACGTCATATGCACGATAGTAAATGTAGTCTTTCGGGACAGTAATTTCTGGGAAATCTTTCACTGCCTTTACCTGAGTGGGTCGCATCTGAAAAACACGAGCAAATATAAATATTACAGCATTGCATGATTTATTATTAATGTCTTGAGAAGGCAATCAATATGACAAAAACTGCTTAATTCCCATACTGATAGTTCCCTACGTGAGAATAAGCAAATTATATAACTTTATCTAAACATGAACACAGCAAATAACATCATCGATCGCCCAGAATAATTCGATCAATTCTTCTTAAACATCAATTTTGTTCAAAAATCGTTTTTGGACTTTTTTCCTACACATGCCAGAACAACAGAGTAACTGTGGATGTACAGTAGCCCAACAAACTATGCATCAGGACATTTTTTATTATATAGACGATGGTCGCCCTTCGACATCTATGTAAAATTGGTCATTCTTGCAGTTGAAACATTGAGATTAGATGTACTATAGAAATGGTTACACATGTACATATAATTTGAATCACACTGATACTAAAGAATATTGTCAAATGACAAGTTTCAAGCTTTTACTGACGGAGAAGACTTCTGATGCCACTGCAAGCATTATTTCATGTTGGCAGCTGAGAAAGAACCACAATCGCACTGTATGTTAAACTGTTTAGTTACATGAAGATATTAACTCAGGGGTCAAAGCCCCCACTTTTCTCCATTGGTGTGTCTAAGGGACGCTACCAAAAGACTGAGACACAAATGACATTTGTATATTATAGTTAGAATAAATGCAATAATTCTGGAATCAATTTAAATAAGCTCAATGACATAAATCACTTAAATCAGGAAGAATATTGCTAAAATATTGTAAAAAGTTCTGTTTTATTTGTTTCACATTTTTTCATGTGTACAGTCAATAGCATAAAAGGAAATTTAATACATTTATAATAATCCACTGAAATTTGAGTAATACAATACACACCTACTTTTAAGGGCATAACATTTTAGGCCATTATACATACATGTATAGGGAAGTGGAAAAGTAGCCAACCGTACATTTTCAAAAATTGCCAAATTTGGCTCAATTCACATGATAGCAGGTAATTCAACCTAATGTAGGTCATTGTATTCCACAAATGTAATGGTTAAAGACTACAGATCCAAGAATGATTTTGAAAAGGGTTTACATTATGAGTCACTGGTCGCTCAACCTGTTAATATATAAAGGTTTGAACCATAATTATATTCTTAACGATATCATACCATTAAACTGGTCTGTTCAGGTCAATAAATAAAAACCTGTGGAAGATTTGTTTAAAACTTTACAGATTTCAAAAACAACAAGTTTTATCAGCATTTTGTATAAATACACAAAACTTGGATGAAAAATTCAACAAAACTTTTATTAAAATGAGTCCATTTTTAAGATTTCTCATGAGATTTCCATCTATTTTCCCATTTCTCAGGCATTATTATCATTCGATCAAAACGTGAGCACTCTATGATAGATAACATGACTTTTTTGCTCATTCTTGTTAGGGTTTCTTATCCTTGCATGAATTTATGCTAGCATGCCCGATATTTCAAATTTCAAAGATAACGAAATTTTCTAACGAATATACCTTAGACTTTCTCCTTAACATTTTTTTTTCCGCTCTTGGTCGTTACCGCTATGTATTATCCAACAAAACACTACTTATTATCCACTATTAACACACTTTATGAACACACTTGTACATAAAATACAATAATTTTTACTTTTATCCGCAAGAAAATACACTATACAATAACTCGGTGAAAGAATGCACTTGTATCTATAATATCTTTACATTCCGTAATACACATGGTGCGTCTAATAAACCCTCTATACTTTACAACAAAATTTTGTCAATACATAAAACGGAGAGAGGGGGGTAAAAATTGACATAATGCGAAACTAAATTAAAACCGATGGTGTATGACTCACCAAGCTTGTCTCAATAGGTAAGTTATATTATAAGACTGTTGTTTTTGTTTTTCACAAATGAATGAACCGATTTGTATCGGTTTAAACGAATCGGTCTCAGCTTAAATGTTATCAGATATGGAGGAAGTTTTTCTCTTATAAATAGGTGACTTAATGTATATCTTTCGTTTAAATGGACTTATAAGGATTACGTGTCAATTTCTTATGAGAAAATGTAAATCTTTAAATGGCTTGTTTATTAAGGTTTATGCATGTCCAGTATTCATATGTACAGGTGGACAGTATCTTTCCCAGCATTAATCAATGTGAATTTAACTTAATAATCAACAGATGGTTTTCTTAACCCTTCATCTGCTAAATTTCTTTAATGGATTTTTCCTTGTTATGCCTTTGGATCAGTCCATTTGTAGATAATAGGGACTTCGGAATACCAAAATTTAGCAGACAACATCTAGAGCTTACTTTGATTTCACAGATGCAGGGTTTTCATTTTTAATATCTGAGGCAACAAATGTGCTAAGGAAAACAACCAATTTTGGGGATGATCAATGGATAATATTAATTTACAGGCTGAAAATACAACCCACTTTAACAGCATTTAAACTGATGATAATTATGGATTGCCAATCTATAAATAATGAAAACAACCAAAACTAGAAACTTCCACCATGAGAATGACAGTACTTTAAACAATACCTTTTCAAAATTTGTGAAATCAACTTGACCCATTATGCATTCCGACCTACTCCAATTGTGATTTTAGGAATTTCCATACCATTTGATCCGAAGCTTCACAGATTATATACTATATGCATGCTGAGGAGGCTTTATACTTGTGGCCATTTAAACTAACCCTTACCTGCTGGGGTGATAAGCATTTGCCAACTGTTTAGAGCTAGACCAGCTTGCAGGTCTGTGCAGAAATTGATTAGACTCTAATCAGTGACTTTTCTGACATAATTGGGAAGAGGCAGTAGCCTCTTGATTTTGGTAAAAAAATTATTTCTAAAATTTCCAAATTGGGGATAAAAAAAGTTCAGATTTTTGGGAAAACTGCATGATTTCAAAGAAAAACTCAAATTAAGAAGGGGCCTAATTAAAGGCCTCAGTTTTATAAGGTGAAACACCACTGCTCTTTTACTGTTTGCTGACCAATTTCAAATTTTAACCTCAACATCCCCAAAAATTGATAATGGACAGTTAAAAAAATGAAACCTGGACGGTTTTTATTTATGAAATTCAGCAGGTTAACGACTATCTCTATAAACCATACAATACACAATCATCAAAATACGAAATAAAAACCATAAATCAAAACCCCGTGTTTTGCTATGAAGTATACACTCCATTTGTGTCATATTTTCATTGTACCCAGTGGGTCGGAAAACCATAATAATACGAATGTGACAATTTTACAAGTAACTGATTACAGTTACATAGCTTTACAGGTAATTCGTTTTTTCTTGTTGCTACATATTACCATTTTTCACCTTAAAGTTTATGATCCTTCGCACCGTATAAGTTATAAACCCATCAAAACCACAGACCATAAAAGTATGCGGCTAGACCATTCCCTTATACTAAACCGAAACCCGTTTATGATGTGTTTGTATTCGCTTGAATTGAATTAAAAATCGGGACAATAAAAAAAGAAGTATTCTTCCAAATATTTCCGAAATTACATATTTCAATACCCTTAGATAACAATAAAAATAGTTGAAGAGTGCATTAAGATATGTATCTGAACTATTTATAAAATGTTCTGCTATTAAAATTCTTTTTGATACTGAAAAAATGAATGCATAAGCATATTTTCATGACATTTTAAAATCTAAGCTGAAATTGGCATTTGATTTTTAAAACCATATACATGGTATGCACTTTGAAGACGGTCATGGATAAGTTTTTTTGTTTTTTTTTTAAAACTGTTTTCTGGAAGGTTCTAAAATTCTAGAAAAATCTATCTTTATATGGAATAACAAGAGGAAAAATACAGCATAATGATCAGGCATCCCTGGTTTTACCAAAGACTCATGTTTAATTTTTTTATCTTCCTTTTGTCAATTTTAACTCATACAGACAAACGGCACATTATACCATAATCCTTACCATAAATATTATTAGCTAATGATAATCCTTACCATAAATATTATTAGCTAATGTTTATCATTTAGGTTTAGAGGCTCAGTTTGAACATCTTGTGAAACTGTATCCAGTACTGAACCTATATATGATAACATCGAACTGTACCTAGTATGGTAAAAACCCAAAATCCCTGGGTTTAGAATCCACTAGGCTAAAAAGAAATTTTCTAAGCTCAAACTCAGGAGAACACACTCCTCAAAGGTTCAAATCTGCGACTTTCAAAGAACACTTTTCTTTAAGGTTAAAACCTGTGATTGGCAGTATTAAATTGGTTCATGTTACAATTTCAAACTCTGGACTGTATTAACTACTATCATTACTATTCCAGCTATCATTGATCACCAATGCACTAAAATTAGTAAACAGAATTCATCCTTCCTAGACTTTTATTTTCCTCCATGTTCTTTCAGAAAACTGATGATTGGACATTATGACAATCCAAAATCAAATGACTTTATATATCAATTCCTTTAAACTTACCAATTTATACTCAAAAGACTTCCACGGTAGAATATTCATCATGATTATTTTGAACACTTTATCCAAAAATCACTTTCAACAATTTAATTTTAAAACATCTCCCTTTGCTTTTCATGCGTACATATCCAAAAATTATATAACTTGTTAATTTGGTGTTGGTTTTTGTTGGTTTTTGTTTTAAATCTCAACAATAAATAAATCACCAAAAGTTATCACAGTCACTGAGTACAACAAATCTTTAATGACCATCAGTAATTTTTTATTCCCACCAATCAAAACACATTACTACCATAGGTACAATACTATTTATAGTGTCAAAATCATGTATGTCAAAATATTTGGCTCAAGGGGCGCATTCAGTCAATCCTCGGTTTTCGAAACAATGAAACATTTCAACTATACATATGTACGTGCTTGTCACTCGTCACAGCAGATGTGTTAAATAAAGACACATTTGTTTCCTAAAGGTATTCAAAATAGCTTACTAACTGTGAAACTTAAAAAAAACATAATACAATGTGAAAACATTAAGTTACACACCGCATTTGTTTTGTTTGTATACTTAAAACATGGAAGTTTGAAATGGTATTGAAACAGGGACTTTATACTGGAGAGGCAACATGCAATACTTCAATGACATAATTGTTGTGAAAAAGTATGCGGACGAAAAAGTAATTGATTTACTTTGAAATGAAACCCCATGTAAATTAAGACAAAATGCAATTTAGAAGCATCCATTGTTATATAAAGGGGTTTCAAGCAAAGGATTAATAATCTGATCAGCCAATAGTCCAGTTATATCTTTGTGGGTCCTTATTTAAATATCTAGCTGGAATCGTTAAGAAGTTTATAAAAAAAAAATCTGGGGCAACAAGAAATAAAATAAATACTATTGCCATGCCTACAATATACCAGAAAAAACATCTAATTTCACTGATTAAACTTTGCCAAGCCCAGATACACTATCAAGATGACACCAAAAATACTCATATATCTTAACTGATATTCTCATTATGTCAAAGTCGTTAATTCACATTCCAGAGAATTGAGTCCTTTATTTTTACAAGCTGTTGCTATTTTTATATCTCTCTGTTTGAAGATACATTTAGACAACATATTGTGAATGGTGGACAGAAGTCAAAAAAACATCAACATCAACATCATATTTCAATATGACAAGCGTAGAAACTGATCTGGAGGTGTACAATATCAAGTGTTTGGATGACACTTAAAAATGTAAAATGCTGTCAATCAAAATTTGAACCTAAGACAGTGGCATACTGATTGACACTACAATAAAACCTGTGTTAATTGACCACATTAGAATAAATTTCTAGTGAAACTTGTACTTTTTGGGGTACATTTTTCATAAATTTCATCCGCTGGTCTTTAAACAGAGGTTTGGTTTGGATTTGAAGTCATTGTGACACCGTAAGTCATATGGCGACTTTTCAGCTTATGCACTTAAATTAACCCATTTTCCTCCCTCTAAATATCTTAAATGGACTTGTCCTTTCAATTTGGATGATTCTTTTCATCTGTTTAAGGGAAAATTTCAAAATATATACCCACAGAATAGCGATCAGTGTTGACTAAAATCAGATTGAACTGTACTGATCACAGCGGTAGATTTTGCTACTACCAATTCAATCAAGATATGAGTTAACATGCAATATAAACACCAAATTTTACTGCTGAATCATTTCTTACCCAAATTCTGTCTATATTGAATCACATAACTTAAAATATACACTGTATAACCAACTTGCTGCATTATAGATCATGAAAGTACAATTTATTGGATAATGTGCAAACTTATTGCCCTAAGGACAACAGCCAATCATTGCCTGTCTATTGTCAATAACTGGTCATTAACATTTTTATTGCCCAATACCGTTAAATGTGATCACTATATGTCATTAAAATGTATTATATTTACCAATGTCTATGTGAGATAATGGAAAAAAACATTGATGTTATAAGATAATAGAATCAGACAACTTTATTGTCTTTTTATTCCAAATTCGGTACAGCGTGTAACAGTATATAAAAGAGACATCTAGGTGTAAATCTTGATCTATTTTTTGCATTGTTCAATGTTTACTAAATTGAAGTCTATAGATAGAATATCTTACAACAATAACATTCAGAATTTGTCTTGTTTCTGGGTGTATTTCTATTTCTGAAACTCAAGAAGCATAGTATTCTACATATCTCAATTGATATCGTTTTGTGAAAATCAACATAAATGTAAACAGGGCTACCCAGTTGGGGCCTCAAAAACAAACATTGAAAAAAAATTAATGCTATATTCAATCCATGCTAAAATTATGAACCTTTGACAATGACCTTGAAAATGTTTTTATTTTTATTTTATCTTTTTTGTGTCTTGTGAATACATACTGTTGTTACTTAATTATAAGGATATACCCAAAACTTGAACTTGTGATACTTCTGGGTAAAAGTTAAATACATTTAACAAGAACCGGTTGAACCGGGTGATGCTCCCCGAGAAGGTTCTGGACACAGGAAAGTATAAAAAAAATGAACAAAGGGCAAAAACTCCAAAATTAGGCAAAGCGGAGTTATGTTTTTTTGCACTGCACTTCTATTCAAAGAGATCTATCTATCTATAAAGTTTCCTGATGATATCAGAGTTATGTCCCGGGTAAAAGTCAAAGTGTAAAAATGAACAAAGGGCAATAACTCCAAAATTAGACCAGGCTTTGTTTAGGTTCTTTAAGCATTGCAGTTCTATCCAATTATATCTAGCTACCTACAAAGTTTCATGTTGATATCTCTAATAGTTTTAAAGTAATGTCCAGGACAAAAGTCAAAAAGTAAAAATAAACAAAGGGCAATTACTTCAAAATAAGGCAAGGCAGAGTAATGATTCTTAAGCACTGCACTTCCAACCAATGAGACCTATCTATTTACAAAGTTTCATGTTGATATCTCTTATAATTTTAGAGTAATGTCCCGGACAAAGTTCAAAGTGCAAAATAAACAAAGGGGGATAATTCAAAAATTAGGCAAGGCAGAGTTAAGGTTCTTGTTCACTGCACACCTACTCAATGAGATCTATCTACCTACAAAGTTTCATGTTGATAACTCTTATACTTTTAGAGTTATGTCCCGGACAAATTTCAAAGTGTAAAATAAACAAAGGGGGGTAATTCAAAAATTAGGCAAGGCAGAGTTACGGTTCTTGTGCACTGCACACCTACTCAATGAGATCTATCTACCTACAAAGTTTCATGTTGATACCTCTTATACTTTTAGAGTTATGTCCCGGACAAAGTTCAAAGTGTAAAAATAAACAAAGGGGAATAATTCAAAAGTTAGGCAAGGCAGAGTTACGGTTCTTGTGCACTGCACACCTACTCAATGAGATCTATCTACCTACAAAGTTTCATGTTGATACCTCTTGTTGTTTCAAAGTTATGTCCCGGACAAGAAAAGGGGATGGACGGACGGAAAGACGGACGGACGGACAAGGCGGCGACTATATGCTCCCCCGAAATTTTTTCGGGGAGCATAAAAATCCGTAAAATCCTATGATGGGCTATTTTGTTACAGTTTTATGTAGAAAAATATGTCTTTTGACCTATGTTAACACCAATGCACAGGAGAGCTGGATTATCAACTGTGCCATTCTTTTAATATTTAAACTGGATACAGACCAAACAAATAGCAGACAGACAGACAAACAATTCAACAAGACATGTAAGAAAGCAGACAGAAAGCACCAATGCCAATGCCAAAATGGTGACAAGAGAGTAATAACAATAGCCTCATTTTTTCTTTTTGAAAAGTGGATCTAAAAACTATAAGCCACCCTTTGGGGGTATGAAAAATCTGTTGGGGGAAAAAAAGTTAAAATCAATGACTGTGTTGACGAAATGCCAATGCCAAAACAATGATGAGAAGGTCATAAGAATATCTCAACTTTTTCTATTCGAAAAGTGGAGCTAAAAACTATATGTCCTCCCTTTGGAGAGTATGAAAAATCTGTTGGAAGAAAAATTAAAATCACCAAATGTGTTGACGACCTACCTGTGGTAGTGTTATGTACATTTCACTGAAGGTTGGTCGGTTTTCAGGTTCATGGTCCCAACATTTCAACATGAGATCATAGTAATTCTTTGGACACAATTCTGGCTGTTCTAATCTTTGGTGATTGGGCGAGTCGATTGCATCCAATATCTGTAACGAAATAAAAATCGAATAAGATAAAGTCATAAAATATAAAATATAATTTTCATCTACAAAATATTTTTAGGACTTTTATCTAAATTATAAATCATCCTCACTACAGAAATAGGCATCTCTATCAAGAACTTTTGATTTATCTGATATTTTAGAACCTTTATATGAAATTTTGCCAAATACTTCACCATCAGCAACTTTACTTCCAAAGGGACACAACTCTTGGAACAAAAGTTAAACTTTAGGTACCTTGCAAAAGTACTCTCCCTTTTCAATATAGATAAATTTCAGATTACTTGACCTATAATCAATATGTTTATTTATTCATAAATCATGATTTATAACACATTGTTTTCTCAACTTATCTTTTTATAACTTTGTGATAAAAAGAAAACAGTGACAGATATAACAAAATCTTGTAGAAATTTTATTTACAGAAATTTTTAGGTCTGTTGACTAACTGGCTTTATCAGGAGGCATTCCTGGGATTCTCCACTGCCATAATTTCCACAATAAACTGTTGCAAGTTTATAAAATCTGACTTATAAATCTAAATATTTACAGAATCTCAAGGAGGCTGGGAGTTTTCCACTTGAAAAACTGATCTGTATACAAAGTTTTTATGATACATTCACTATCTTACAAGCTCAGCTTTCTCGGCATTAAAAATATCAACATTTTTGCGAAGTCTTATGAATAGAGTTTTAGACCAGGCTTCATGGTATCCTTTTTTACGTTGCTTTTAACATCTAACTTCTAACCTTTTACTTTTTTTTTCTTAAAGTTCGTAAAAATCTTTTGTAATTCTAAACAAAACTATAACAAGAGGGCCATGATGGCCCTAGATCGCTCACCTGAATTATCAAACTCATCCAAACAATTACCTAGACAAGCATTCTGACCAAGTCTCATGACAGGTGAGTCAAAAATGTGACCACTACAGTGTTAACAAGGATTATCCATATTTGAGCAGTGCGACCTAGTTTTTTACCCAGGTGACACATATTCAAACTTGACCTAGAAATCATCAAAAAAAACTTTCAGACCAATTTCCAGGATACTTGGATCAAAACAGTAGCAACTAGAGTGTTAACAAGATTTTTCTATTTTTAGCTCCGGTGACCTAGTTTCACATGCGATTTCGAACTCATCCAAGCAATTACCTAGACAAACATCCTGACCAAGTTTGATGATAATTGAGTCGAAAATGTGACCACTAGAATGTTAACAAGGTTTTTCCATATTTGGGCGGTGTGACCTAGTTTTTCATCCAAGATGACCCATGTTCGATCTTGACTTAGAAATCATCAAAACAAACTTTCAGACCAATTAACAGAATATTTGGATCACAACAGTAGCCACTAGAGTGTTAACAAGATTTTTTCTATTTTTAGCTCCTGTGACCTAGTTTTTCATCCGAAATGTCCCATGTTCGATTTATTCCCAGCAATGACCTAGACAAGTTTCCTGACCAAGTTTGATGACAATTGAGTCAAAATTGTGACCACTAGAGTGTTAACAAGGTTTTTCTATTTTTAGCTCCTGTGACCTAGTTTTTCATCCGAGATGACCCATGTTCGAACTCATCCGAGCTATCACCTAGACAAGCATCTTGACCAAGTTTGATGATGATTGATGCAAAAATGTGACCGCTAGAGTGTTAACAAGGTTTTTCTATTTTTAGCTCCGGTGACCTACTTTTTCATCCAAAATGACTCATGTTCGAACTCATTCAAGCTATCAACTAGATAAGCATCCTGACCAAGTTTGATGATGATTGATGCAAAAATGTGACCACTAGAGTGTTAACAAGGTTTTTCTATTTATAGCTCCGGTGACCTAGTTTTTCATCCGAGATTACCCATATTCGAACTCATCTGAGCTATTATCTAAACAAGCATCCTGACAAAGTTTGATGATGATTTGGTAAAAAATGTGACCACTAGAGTGTTCACAAGGTTTTTCTATTTTTAGCTCCTGTGACCTAGTTTTTCATCAGAGATGACCCATGTTCAAACTCATCCAAGCAATTGACTAGACAAGCATTCTGACCAAGTTTGATGATGATTGGTTCAAAAATGTGACCACTAGAGTGTTCACAAGGTTTTTCTATTTATAGCTCCTGTGACCTACTTTTTCATCCGAGATGACCCATGTTCGAACTCATCCAAGCTATCACCTAGACAAACATCCTGACCAAGTTTGATGATGATTGGGTCAAAAATGTGACCTCTAGAGTGTTCACAAGGTTTTTCTATTTTTAGCTCTTGTGACCTAGTTTTTCATCCGAGATGACCCATGTTCGAACTCATCCGAGCTTTCAACTAGATAAGCATCCTGACCAAGTTTGATGATGATTGAGGCAAAAATGCGACCGCTAGAGTGTTCACAAGTAATTGTGGACGGCCGGACGGACGACGGACGACGGACATTCACCGATCCTAAAAGCTCACCCTGAGCAAGCTCAGGTGAGCTAAAAAGCCATAAAAATCAACACTTATATAAGAACAGAAACAGTAGTCTTTGATATACACACCATATCCTGTATCTAACAGTTTCAAATTGTTACAATTTTTATTTTTTTACATGACACTAAAATCACAGGGTAGGTGAAATTCAAATTCATTGTCCAGCCATAAAAATGACATTTAAATATGGGGATCTCAGTTTCACAGGGCAGTAGTAAAAAAAAAACTTTATCCCCTTTATCTTTCCATTAACCTGGATATTTCAAAAAGATATATAGTATGTTTGTACTTTAAATCCTATATTTTAAGTAGTAGTATTACAAGCATAGGTAGGGTGATCATTTTTCAAACCAAAATTACCCACACATAGTGATACCATTCTGCTTACAAGATTTGTCACAAGGGGGAAAATACCTATCACAGCAAAAAAATCTTTATAACTGAAAATAAACATTTAAAACTACTCAATTTAAACCCCTTAATTTTTAAGCTAGATCAGTTTTCCCAAAGAAAAAATCTCTTATAAAATGAAAAACAATGTCCAAGATCAGACCTTGCATAATTATACTGTGTCTTAACTTTTTAGCTAAATAACTTAGGAATACTGTTCACATGACCCCAGTGTACAAAGAATAAATCTACAGCTTGGTGTGAAAGGGTCGTAACTCCTTCTTTATTTATTATGAGTTACAACTCTTTCGCACCAAGCTGTTGATTAATACTGTTTTCAAATCTTTAACTCTATAACTAAATCTGCTCATAAATTGAAAACTACCCCAATGCAGTCATGATTTTTTATTTATGAGATTTTATGGAATTTTTTAGATAACCCTTTAGAGAAAATCATTTCACCTCACAAAACTTTGAAAATTCAGACACCAGTAATCAGCAATAAATCATTAATCGTCCATTTAAAAATTCACGGTCTGTTTATAACTGTATCTCTATGAAGTGCTGCCAAATTGATATGAACCGAAATGTATGGACCAAATTTTTGCACACACCCTGTACATTTCCAAGTTGAAATCATTTCTATATCGGAAAAATTAAAGTCAAGGAATTTGGCAGGTAGATAATTAAGTTCATTATAAAAGACCAGAACTTGGCAGGAATCCCTCTTGTATAAACAAGTCTGAGTGAAGTTCAGTCTCTAGTGTATGATAACTTCAGATAAAACCCCCATTTCTTATCATCAGAAAATACTCCCAGGTGCTGCATTAAAATTATACATACACATTTTGAAAACAAAAAAAACTCATTCAACTTTCTTCAGTTGGTTTAAACATAATTATTTAAGCTTGATTGTGAAATAAGTTCTTGCAACTTATATTAATCATTTTCTAGTCCACTCCCTGGATCCAACCAGTACTGCTTGGTATCATATGAAGAAACATAGTCATGACCCCATTAAGGCTCAAACCCATGATTCCTGGGTTGAGAGGCAGACACCTTAACCACCAGGTCCAAGCTCCCCTTAATTATTTTTCAGTTGAAATTTTGCTTAGGATAACAAAACCAGAAAGTAAACAATTCCTCAATTTCCGCATCAAACTTCATAGTTTCATAAAACCGCATCAATTTTGAAATATTCCTGATCTGAAAACACTTGCACATGTTTTGCGTTAGAATTAGATTAAACTCTTCCTTTTTGTAAATGATTACTCAAAGATCAAGGGGAAACTGTATAACTTTTATAAGTGAACCAAATTAACAAATGCTATCTTTTTTTTTTCAAATTGTTGGAATTTTATTATATAGAAAAAGTGTGTTTGAATTCCAGATGATGCTATGACTGACTTAAATCTAAATATTACTCTAGTATAAATATACATATAGTACAACAATAGCCATTGTCCTTGGAAGTACCTTTAGTTTCTCTCAATGCAGGATAACAAAATGTAAAAGTCACAAAAGGAACACAAAAGGAAAATAATTCAGGAATATCTGACCAGAGTTTCTTGACCTTGCAATAAGTATTCAAATTTTGATGTGAGCAAGATTTAAAGAAATGAACATAAATGATAACCAATGCCGTCAGCAAAGAAGAGGGCCATAGCTTAAGCTCCATTTTATTCATTCCCAGAAAAGCGGTGTGTTCAAATATTATGCTTTTTATTAAATATACACAGTAAGTACAGACAACATTTGGCAAGAATGGGCTAGATATAGGTGGTCTTGTATCAAAGAATTACACTTGTAGCACTGAATAGTCCAGCCATTTTTTTTGTAAAACTCAAAAACATTACAAGAACATCCCTGTTACATATATTTCTCTTATCATAACAAGACTTTATATCATAAATGAGTTATTTTTTGACTGATACCATCTGTTCAGCCACCAGTGTCGATAACCTGTTGGACTTACAACATCAAAAACACATTTTTGCAAAAGTCTTGATTTATACAGGAAACTGGCATATATAAATCATCTAAGATTTATAGGGTTCTCAACCAGAAAAAAAATACAGTAACCAGTAGCCAAGAATTTGAACTGAAAGATTGTTGCCATGATAATAATGTAATGGTTTTTTTCTCTCTCTCCCTCTCTCTCCAAAATTCTTCAATTTCTAGTCTGTCTTGTTATCACAGTAAAATAAAATGGCTCTAAAAACTGAGTGGAATCAGCCAGGATTAACACAGTACTTATAGAGATGATTATAATTATGTAATTGAATCCTTAATTTCATGTAAAACATGCATTTGGTTTAAGTAGTATATAAAGGAAGATAGATTCAAAACAATGTTCCAATCTTAACCATAAGCTAGCCTTCGCCACAAGTATAGAGCCAAGCTAGCTTACACAGCCATGCAGCCTGACCATGCTCTATACTGTTTGTCGCTAAATTCTTATATTTAAATATAAATAACCCCTAAACTTCATATTGACAGTTCCTGATTCAAAGCTGGGTTCACAAATTCCGACAGGTAAATCGCCAAATTAATACATCAATGCATGGTCAAAATTAAATAATGCGGTCAGATTTGATGACCATCTGGACCTGTTATGACTCCCACACAGTATTTTGGTATGTATGTAGTAAAAGACGGAACAGTTCAATCATTATAATAATGACATAATGTGACACTTATACTGATCTGTCAGTGTTGACCTGGTGTCATTCTTACCTAACCTTATAATAAACTTGCTGTTTTTTTGCTACTAATAAAAACAACACCTGTGCTCCAAAGGAAACAGGAAAAACACCTAACTTACTATATCCCTCTGTCAACAGAATACAGTAAACTCTATTTATAACAATATTCAAGAGACTGCAAAATTTACATTGTTTTATCAGGATATCGTTATATGTGAGAGGCAACCAATTTGAAAACAAGAGTCTGGATCGCTGCAACAGCATCATAATAAGCAGTATATCGCTATAAGCTATATCATTTTAAGTGGAGTTTACTGTACATTAAAACATATTATTATCAATACCATATATCCAGTACCTTTGCAGGAGGCACTTGTTTTTAAACAACAATATTTCTCATATTTTTATTTGTTTTTGAACCGATAATATTTCTGACTTTGTGCATTCTTTAACCATTTCGTTAAACAATAATCCTGCTCAACATATTTTCAAACAATGTCCCAAGGGTTGTTGTTAAAAATTTTCAGAGACCTTCCATTTTGAGTTTGAGGCGGTCAGTTTGGACTTAATCAGATACAACCAAGAGAATATTATAAGTATTGAGGCGGACCAAAATGCAGCTAAAAAACATAAACATTGAGGAATCGGAAACTGTCCTATAAATTTAGACCTAAAATCATGCTTATTATGGTTAAATTACCTGTTGGCCGTTCATTCCTGCCCATGGTTGGAAGCCGTTAGTAAACAGTTCACCAAATGCCCACACATCACTGGCTGAGGTAAACTTCAGGTAATTGATACATTCCGGAGCGCACCTGTACGTAGATAAATAACACTACATAATAACCCCTTATTCTGCTTCATTTCTTAAATGGGCATCCTTTTTTGGAATTGCCCATATCAATTTTTGGGATATCAAGGAATAAAAGTTGAATTTAGGTCAATGAAACAGTATTGAGCCTGGTCGAACCGCACATATGTGAAACCTGGCCTGACACTATATTGATGGTAGTGGAGACTGTTCACTGTCAGTTCCAGCAAAATAACAGTAAAAGTAAATTATGATGGACACGTGTCTCTTATAAAATGCTTCAATAACTCCAGATGATACTGTTGTTTTGTAAACAGATGTTACTCTGACCTGTTCTATCAATTTAACTTTTTTCTATTGTATTTCAGAAACCTTCCACAGTCAAAAGCAACCCTGGTGAGCTTAGTATACATAGTTATAGTCAAAATAGTTTCCCTTCACACACAATCTATGTTTGTATCTGAATTTTTTTATTTATTTTTTTAAATGCTGTAAAAACAAACTTTTATACTTTATTCAGAAAGGAACATTGTTGCGGAAAAATCAATGTGTATAATAAAACACACTTGAATTATAAAAAGTTCTCATAATAAATCAAGGTCTTGAAAAAAAAAAGACATATTTCTTCCATCAAGATGCAAATAATTTCATTAATACCATGTTGAATCATGCTGTTTTGTTTTTTTCTCAGTGTTGAATAGTAGACTGGTAATATTGCTCTGGTAGTAAATGAACATATTAAAAATATAACAAATTTGGTTAACCAATGCCTACACTATCAAGTGGGTCATCTTCGAACAGTGGAGCTAAAATTAAATGTACTTAAGATTTGCAGACAAATTATGAAAAAAAAGTTATGTTATCTCACCATGCTATTTGCAGCCTCAGGTTGATACTAAAATTACTTTGATAATAATCCTTCCCTCTTCCTAAAGCTCGTGATAAACCAAAATCACTTATTTTCACCTGTAAAATTGTAAAAAATCTTTAGTATCAATTTAATAACAAAACAACAATTTAATATATCAATTTTTATGTTCTGTATGTATGGTTTTACGGCACACCAACACAGTTTACTGTTTAGATTATATTGCACCAAAGCAGGATAAGATGATTTTGGCAAACCTCGGGTGTTACAAACTTAAAGCAACACCAGGAGTCAAAACCACCTCACCTGCTGGAGCTAAAAGATGCACAGACTCCAGCAATTTGAACCCATTTAGTCACACAGGAATAAACAGTGGCTGCAATTCTGATGCCTCAACCCTTGAAGGCAACCCATATGTTTGACATCAGCCACAGGAGGGTTGTTATATTCTAACAACTGGCAAATTAGCAGTGAATAAAATTTAATACTCTTAATACTAATAATTGCAGCTAATACAATACCAAGTTTATATGTTTGTGTCAATTCCAACACAAATTTGGTCATCTTTCAGGGTCGGTCCAAGTGACGAGCTTTCCTGGATAACTAACCAGTAATTTCCAACTTTTCCGCAAGTGACCAACTACTTATCCCACTGGATTTCTGAATCAGCTTTGAAAGATAAAAGACTATTAGACTTGTTCCAGACCAAGTTACACAAAAATTTCACCTCTCCCAAGGATCAAACCAGCGACCCCAGGACTACAATTCTATTCTTTCCCTATTGAACAAGGCAACTGGACTGGGGATAAAACTGAAATAAAACTGGGGGAAAAAACTGAAATAAAACTGAAATATACCTTAGATTTACTGAACACAAGTATATTTCTGGCAGCCAGATCTCTGTGAATCAGTCGTTTGCTCTCCAGATAACTCATACCATCACAGATCTGCTGGGCAAAGTCACATAACCGTGGTAACGGAAAATCCTGCTTCAACACTGGATCTTTAAGGCATTCCAGTAGGGAGCGCATGGGAGCTAACTCTGTCACCTGAAATACGAAAACATGGCATTTTTACATAATCTGTTTAATTGATTAAAGACAAAATTGTTACACAAATAAATGTAACTTTCCATGCTATGGAAACCATTTTCCTACAGTCTGCAATCAGAATGACACTGTAGCACACTTCCCCAAAAATTACTTTTTCACCAAATTCAGGGTCAAAACAAGTACCAATATAATTTTTCAGGGCCCTCTCCATATATCAATCTTGGCACAAGTGGGGTTTCAAGTAGAACCACTGAAATTCCGTAAACGAGCTGGATGGCTTCCTAACAAGAAAGGATCCACAGTCCCTGGCGGGATTTGAACTTGCATTATCATGGGGCATGTATCTTGAAGTCAACAACCTTAACCACTCAGCCATGGAAGCCCATGTCATTAACAAGAAAACCAAAAAAAATCTGAAAATGTTCCATCAATCTTTTGCAACTTCCACGAAAATCACAATCCCTCGATATTTAGTAGATTTAAGAGAATCAGATTTAAGTTTGTTTATAATGTTGTATAGAAAGAAAATATGCATTGATCTATAAAATACATACACTTGACAGAAAGAAAGCAAAATCTAGAGAATTTATTTTATTTAATTAAATAAAGTATCTAAAAAAATGTGTTAAAATGTTGAAAAACATTTTGTTTGCTGGGAGTTGAAAACTGTTTCTATTTATAGAAATATTCCAGAAGCACACATTGTGGGATGTTTTCCATCAGTATCTAAGGAACAATCAAGCTTGTCTGGGTTGTCTCACACATATCTGCACATATTTCAGCAACAAGTATGGTAAATGTCTGGTCTGGTAAATGTCAACATGTACTCAACAATGATATGTCCAATCTAAACACACCTCAACAGTTAATTAGTCCAATCTAAACAGACCTCAACAATTAAAATAGTCCATCTAATCAGATCATCAATCTCAATAGTAAATAGATCTCAACAATTTGTAAGTCAATGCTAAAAGATAGCCACATTTAGTTGGTAATTTACAATAGATCACAACAATTTTAATTGGTCAATCTAAAAAAAGAAAAGATCTCAACCAAGCTTCTCAATCTCAAATGATCTCACGATAAAATGCATTATATTAATAGATCTCAACAAAAATCTGTTCAATCTAATTAGACATTAACAATGTGCATTGCAATCCCAACAGATTTAAAGTAATTGTTCCAAACAGATAAATAGACAACAAACTATGAAATCTCAACAATAGACAGATCAATCTCAACAAATTTAAATGGTTCATGTCAATAAAAAATTTATAACAAAAGTAATTAAAATTTAGAATTATCACTTTTTTCTCATCCAATATTTTTTTTCTCAATTTAGGACTAAGTTACCATGTAGCATATCATTATGCTTATTTTATAAACAAGAGGGCCATGATGGCCCTGAGGTCGCTCACCTGTATATAGGCCCCCCCAACCCCCAACGTTGCAGGGCAAATTTAACCCAAGGGCTTTTATTTGCACAAACTTGGTAGACACCCATAAGAAGATGTTTCATGCTAAACATCTAAGCTCTAGCTCATTGGGCTTTTTAAAAGAAGATTTTTTTCAAGTTTTTACTATACACATATAGCTAAAAACAATGACACCCCTGGGGCCGGGCCAGTTTTGACCCCAGGGCTTTTATTTGAACAAACTTGGTAGACACTTACTAAAAGATGTTTCATGCTTAATATCTAAACTCTAGCTATTTGGGTTTTTTCAAAGAAGATTTTAAGTTTTGCTATACACATATAAGGAAAATCAATGACCCCCGGGGCGGTGCCAATTTTGACCCCAGGGCTTTTATTTGAACAAACTTGGTAGACACCTATTAGAACATGTTTGATGCTAAATATCTTAACCATAGCTCTTTGAGTATTTAAAAGAAGATTTTTTAAGTTTTTACTATATGCATATAGGGAAAATCAATGACCCCCCGGGGCGGGGCCAATTTTGACCCCAGGGCTTTTATTTGAACAAACTTGGTAGACACTTATTAGAACATGTTTCATGCTAAATGTCTTAGCTCTAACTCTTTTGGTTCTTTAAAAGAAGATTTTTTAAGTTTTTACTATATGCATATAGGGAAAATCAATGACCCCCCTGGGGAGCGGCCAATTTTGACCCCAGGGCTTTTATTTGAACAAACTTGGTAGCCACCTATTAGAACATGTTTGATGCTCAATATGTTAGCCATAGCTCTTTGAGTTCTTTAAAAGAAGATTTTTTAAGTTTTTACTATATGCATATAGGGAAAATCAATGACCCCCCGGGGCGGGGGCAATTTTGACCCCAGGGCTTTTATTTAAACAAACTTGGTAGACACTTATTAGAACATGTTTCATGCTAAATGTCTTAGCTCTAACTCTTTTGGTTCTTTTAAAGAAGATTTTTTAAGTTTTTACTATATGCATATAGGGAAAATCAATGACCCCCGGGGCGGGGCCAATTTTGACCCTAGGGCTTTTATTTGAACAAACTTGGTAGACACCTATTAGAACATGTTTGATGCTAAATATCTTAGCCATAGCTCTTTGAGTTCTTTAATTGACCCCCCGGGGTGGGGCCAATTTTGACCCCAGGGCTTTTATTTGAACAAACTTGGTAGACACTTATTAGAACAAGTTTCATGCTAAATGTCATAGCTCTAACTCTTTTGGTTCTTTAAAAGAAGATTTTTTAAGTTTTTACTATATGCATATAGGGAAAATCAATGACCCCCTGGGGAGGGGCCAATTTTGACCCCAGGGCTTTTATTTGAACAAACTTGGTAGACACCTATTAGAACATGTTTGATGCTCAATATCTTAGCCATAGCTCTTTGAGTTCTTTAAAAGAAGATTTTTTAAGTTTTTACTATGCATATAAGGAAAATCAATGACCCCCCGGGGCGGGGCCAATTTTGACCCCCAGGGCTTTTATTTGAACAAACTTGGTAGACACCCATTAGAACATGTTTCATGCTAAATACCTTAGCTCTAGCTCTTTGGGTTCTTAAAAAGAAGATTTTTTAAGTTTTTACTATATGCATATAGGGAAAATCAATGACCCCCCGGGGTGGGGCCAATTTTGACCCCAGGGCTTTTATTTGAACAAACTTGGTAGACACTTACTAGAAGATGTTTCATGCCAAATATCTAAGCTCTAGCTCTTATGGTTTTTTAAAAGAAGATATTTAAAGTTTTTTCTTTCGGTTGCCATGGCAACCAGAGTTCTGCATGGAATCAAATTCTTTGAACAATTTTTAAAGGTGACCACCAAAGAAACATTCCTGTGAAGTTTGGATGAAATTGGCCTAGTGGTTTATGAGGAGATTCATTTAAAGTAAAAGTTTACGGACGGACGACGGCCGGACAGACGGACAACGGCCGGACGCCGGACAAAAAGCGATCACAAAAGCTCACCCTGTCACTTTGTGACAGGTGAGCTAAAAAAAATTCAATCAATCAGCATAAGGCAAAGCAAGACAAGCTAAGCCACAAGTTCACTAAGTTCACCCATCTCTAATGCAATCAAATTGAACTCAATCACATTTCCTAATTTTACTGCAACACACATTAATCAAATTCTTGCATGGGGGAAATAATTATTTCATCACTGCATTTAACTTAAAACTGTTATATTGATACAATATAATCAATATCTCGTTAATTTTTCTAAAAATTTATGCATAATAGAATTAATTCTTTGAAAAGGCCCAATATTTTTTTTTTTCTTTAACCACCACTATAAAGTCAGGCCATCATGTGCATCAAAACAGTCTTGTACAGACACTATACATCCCTCAAATTCATAATGGACTGTCCTAATATACAAAGCAAGAAAAGTCCACTTTATAAAATGAGCAAGGTAGGGTTTAATCATATTCAGTTCATATTACAATACACTACATCAGTGCAAACTTGTTCAATTGAAATTTGCATTTTTCTGTCTGCTTGCATAATGCGTTTCTAATAATAGATTGCTTATATCATTTTATTCCAAAGCCAAATTATGTCTTATTTTCAACTTTTTTTTATGTTGCAGCAACACAATTTAGGTCAAATGGCGACTTTCCAGGTTTTGTGGTGGAGGAAGACCTCAGGTGTCCCTCTACATTTTTCAGGCACAAACGGGCACCTGAGTTGAACCACCAACATTCTGTAAGCCAGATGGATAGCTTTCTCACATATACAATCCAATGACACTTGAGCAGCTTGAGCCTTCAGCAGTGAGAGGCAAGTGGTTTGAAGTCAACAACCTTAACCACTCAACCACAGACGCCCCCTTTATTTTCACATAACGTTCATAACGTTTTGTCTGATCGGTCTTCAAACTTTCAACTTGATATCCCCAAAGTCGGTAATGGACAGTTTCAAAAGTTGACTGTAGACGGGTCCATTTAAGAAATAAAGGAAGTTAAAGCAGTTTATGTATATATAAACAGTTGATGAAATTTTAATGTCTTGTCAAGATATAAAAGATGAAAAAATCTATTTGAGGTATGAAGCATAGTACCGGTTTTATCATCCTGTATTTTTTGGCATTAGGCATGGCAAGGGTTATTATCATCCTCTATTTGAGGCATAAGGCATGGATGGGTTACTATCACCCACGGCACTATAATCTTACCAACATTAAAGAATTCTTGTCTAGCACAACCCCGTACATGCGTACAATATTTTCATGATCTATCGTCTGCATGAGCCCGGCTTCCTTCAAAAACTCCTGGGTACCGTTCTCCAGCCGTTCACGACTTAAACATTTCAGCGCAACTTGGACCTATTGATGAGAAAGAAAGAATAAATCATTATTTCATTAGCATGCAAATGATAAGCCTTATTTTCTACAATAATTAATAGCTACAGAAAGTCAGTTGTTCTTCTTAGGTGCCAATTCTAGTCTAGAATAATGCACAATAAGGCACCAGAGATTTTTCTAGATGAAGTCTATGTGCTTTAAAAAAATCAATTCAATAATGGACTGATAATTAAGTCGAACCAACTCAGGCTAAGGTAATGGTTGGAAATCAGAGGCTGTTATTACTCAGCCAAGACCTTTCTGCAAGTCTTGTTCCAATTTTTTTCTTTATATAAAGATATATAAAGAACAGTTAAATTGCCTCATACAAAGTCATACCATACATAGAATTTAAAGTTTTGGAACAAGATTTGAATAATGACATCTTTAAGTTCTGACATCACTAGTGCCACTTTTACTACACATAAAGTTACCTCTTGAAAAATTTATTGCTAGCCAAAAGTTAATCTTTACCCGTAGATCTAGCCCATCTTAACACAATTTTTTTGTCAGCCTATACATCACTATTGAATTAACAAATAATTCAACTCTATTTTGAAATGGTCACTGACCTTACAGACCTGTCTAAATGTTGCCAACTTATCTAAGGTATGAGCCATACACAGATTGCTTAACAAGTTAACAAGAAATCTGTGTTTTTGTGTCAACAATAAAATGTCATTATTCATTAGAGAAAACCATCTAAGCATCCATACCAAGTAATGTTGATGGTGTGTGAAAATGTCTAATCTTGAGAACATCAGTTTTTATTGTTAGTTAGAACATATTTCTTTTAAGCAAGAATGTTTAACAAGTTCCAGCAATTTATTTTCATCATACAAGTTGAATGTGCTTTCTGGAACTAACCAGTACTGGTGTCATGGGTGAATCAAGAAAAGCTAAAACCTACGATCCCAAGGCTGACAGGCAGATGCTTTTAACACTAGGCCACCATGTCCTCTCAATTGTAAAGTTTTAACTTAATACAGAAATATATTTCAGTATTTGAATTATAACAAAAGGATGAAAATATTGTTTAATCTAGACTAGTATACAGTGTCGTTACCATTTCCTAAAAAAATTTGGGATATTATTAACTGTAGCAAGATTGTTACTAAAAGACACTGGTCACTTCTTACCTTCTCTCCCTCTTCTGTAGTCCAGACCCCCTGCTGGACCACCCCAAACTCCCCTTCCCCTAGCGTCTTGTTCACTTCTATAACATCTGAGGATATGATCTGTTTGCCTGTAGGTCGAATATAAGATATAGGTCTGGATATGCGGTGATCAGGTGTGGGACTGAGTGTTCTGTGTGAAGTGGGGCTCAAACTGGCTTTCTCCATCAATGCCTGAAATAATACAAAGAATGGGATATTAAATATATCTCATTTCAGTGAAATAAGGAAACAATGGCATCTGGTGGGATATGATTTATATTTCATTTAAGACTAGATCGTGAAAAAAACAACACATTAAGCGTCATAAAATTTCAATGTGTCTTTTTAATAATCAAATATTATATCATTGCTAATTTTTTTTATTTCTACAAGATTTTGAATCGTGAAAAGTTCATGGTATTTGGCTTTGGTTTTTTTAAATTTGAAAAGTGTTTCATAAGACAGTTATATGTGAACTATAAAAAAATTATAGAACACTAAGTGGCAACACTATGGCTGAAACATACTCGAAACAATTCAGAAACATCCTCATTCTTACCGTCTAAATACTGAACACAAAATGAAGAAAATCAATGAGGAATTTTCAAAGATTTTCATATATTTTACTAACTATGAAAGAAAGTACATGTACTCTTTTTAATGTTCTTTCAAACAAAGGTAAAATGTACTATAAACATTATAGGAAACAGCTGAAGAAAATAAATCATTCTTTCTTTCAAACCCATTTTGAAAAGATACACTGTATAATGCAGGTGGAAATAACAGCTGTGTAATTTACATTTCAATGTATAATAAAGATCAATATATGATGAATTTCACAGCATAAAAGAAGAATAATTAAAGACAGACTGTATGAACAAAAAGATGTATCAGAAAACTAAGTATATTCTTGTAACAAAGTCCACAAGTAACTGGAACCATCAAACAGTCAAATGTCACAATGACCTCTTCATTTAAGTTAAGAAACTAGCTGAAATAGGTTAACTATATGGACAGACAGACAAACTGCATAATTAATTGTGCAAGGGTAAAAATGTATATATTAATCTCAAAGGATTAATTGGAATTACAGAATCTTGTCATGTTCTTAATGGACTTGCCCATCTTTCAATCTGGACAAAACCATTCATCATTTTTAGGGAAAAAATTCAAAATATTTACTGACTGAATAGTAAACAGTGCAGACCATGATCAATGGCACAGAATGATGTGTTTTCTTATCTTGGGTCTCCACCTGTCAGCCCAGAGAAAAACAGCTGCTGATTTTTTTTCCGCTCTGCCAGCGAGCCTCGATTTAAACCTTATACTTGTTATGACTGGCATTATTTTTATTTTTGACTTGGCTACATTGAACCATCCATTTATATCAATAGGAGAGATTTACCAGTGGCCAATATTCTAAAAATAGAATTGCTGATAAGCACTGACCATAGCAACCGTTGCTGGTCGTACATTCTCTTTGTACTACCTAGTCATTTTACATAAGAAAACTATGGTGTGTATGTCTATTAAGAAATAAATATGAGCTCTGTTTCAATAAAGTAGAGTTTTTGATGCTAAAGCATCATTAGTCCCCGAATAGAAAAATGATTGTATTATCATAAATTTAAGAAAATATCAGTTAAATGATCCATGAATAAAGAAAAGATTAACAATATGTTGAGTAACTATTTATTTACAATAAAGACATTATATGTGAAACAAACTTGCTTAGAAATATTGTCAAGAAACTGTTATCATTTTTCAAATCAGCAAAAATAACGTACACTTAATTCATCGTAAACTTAATTCATCGCGAATAAAACAGGTGATTGAAAATAATCAAAGTAAAGCATTAACATTAAGCTTGCAAAGTGACTGGGAAAATATAGGCTATTATGTTTAATTATTGTATGAAACGATGCTATTCTATTGTACTTTTAAAGGTACTGACTACAAAATTATATAAACAAAACACTTTTTCTTATCTCATATTTCCTATTTATTTATTTTTTATTGAAAATAAATAAAACTGTAGGGAAAAGAAATCTTCAAACAGTAATAAAAACTGTCGGCAAAAGAAATATTCGAACAATTATAAAGACATTGTTTAGTTATTTGTTATTAATATGTGGCCTTAAAAAAGTTATAATTAGTTAACTACATCAAATATATAATGCCTAGCTTATAAGTATGATAAAGTTTTAGAGGTGTACTTGTATTCTGAAATAAATTCACGGAGGTCATTATCATATCTACCTGATTCCAGATTTTTTTCCAACCACAGATGTGACACATGACTATTTTGAGTAATTATGTTGCCTTTTCTTTTTTATATTGGCTGCTGTAAACTTGTTTAATTGGGGATTTTGTCAACTTTTTAAATAAATTAAATTTATCCCAAACATTTTGAAATATCACCTGTTGGTCAAACACCATTTTAACAGTCAATCTTTTGAAATATAAAGTCAATTCAGCTCAAATTGACTATGAAAATATGAGCATAATGTCACTTTAACTTGCTTAATACTTAAAGCTGAACATGAACTAAGCATAAAGTTTTAATATATTTATGTTAACAACACTCAGTTTTGGGTCTTAAGCATACATGTACATTTAACAATGGCTAAAATATAATACCCTTGAATCATAAAACATATTTGCAAAAGGGGAAAATGAAAATGAAACAAAACTGAGCAATTAGCAGGCATATTTCACATAAAAATGATAATTCATAGAACACATGTAGCGAGTTGTTTCAAGATTGATATAGACATAAAAATTAAAGTACATGTAGATGTTTAGCAAAAATTTAACCCTTTATAACATCACACTTATTTTATATATAAAATATATCAATACTATTTAGAAAATAGTTTTGTATTTTTTTCTTCATGTTGAATATTACAAAAAAAATATGTGCAGATAATTCTGATCTTTAAAACTTTGCCCCAGGAACATCATCTTATGTTAACTTGACAGAAAATGCTACCAATGTTTGTACGACCTTCTAAGATTGTGTGTATACGTAGTCCACACAGCAGTTATCAGTGACGTGGTGGTAAATCTCTCCTATTGTAGTCATGACACATCAAAACACGACTGTTTCACTGTTCAAACATATCATTATGAAATATACATCTATCTTTTACACATTCAGCGCCAAAGTAAACATAGAAACTGCTAATGTTTAGTCAGCTATCTTAATATCCACGGCAAGTTGCCTTAAATACCCGAACATGTTGTCTTAAATACCTCTGGCCACTTACTGGCACAAAATTAAATCATATCTATCATTTATCTACTTAATCCATGGATGAAATAAGCTTTTATATAAAATCAGGTCTGACTTTTTTACCTGAACATTATATGTGAAAACATATGCCATAAATGAAGCATGATGCATTTAAATGGGGCATCACATAATTGAAATATTCCTGGAGATAAGGAGATAAGTCTAATGCTGGCATACTTTTATACTAACCTCTCACTATAGCCTTAAGGTATTTTATTAAAAGTGCTCTAAATACTATATACATAATTATACACAATGGAAAGGGAGATTTTATGAATGCATTAAGAAATGTCCAAGTCAATTTTTGGATGATTTTGAATTTGGAAGGCACGGAGCAGTCAACAGTAACCCTCTCCTCCCCAAACTAAAGGACAGCCCATCAGTTAGCTGGGGGTAACTGCTCGGGGTGGGGGAGGGAATGAGCAGTGTTTTCACCTTTCTTACTCCCTATTAAAAATTGTAAGTTGAATGTGCTAGTTTGGATTTAGCACCAAAAAGCCAGGGCTTTGTCCAGGTCTGATGAGCAGGGATGTTTTGCCATCATTGTACTGATGCTGAAATCCCCAAAAAATATAATGGACTCTTTCTTTTTTCTAAATTCAAAGCCCAACATACAAATGTAAAAGAGTAAAAGTCAAGGGTCTACTTATGCAGCTCAGATTTTGACAGGACATATCTTGTTTCCAAAGTTTTACAACAAACTTTTGAAGCTTTTTCGTGCCAAGTACAGCCTGAGTACCATTCTTTAATTGAATCAGCATTTTTTAAGTAACTTTTAACTATGAATGTAAGTTCACAGGCTACAATAAAATGTCAGTTATACACAGCACCCAGCTACTATACAGCTAGGCCAGCCTGAACAGAGTTATTTCAGGTAACAAACGGGCACCAGAGTAGATCCACTGACATTAGGTAAGTTTGCCCAGGATAGCCTCCTCACAGGAAAGGATCCAAAGTCCATGTTGGTATTTAAACCCACAGTAGTGAGGTGCAAGTGGTTTTTAAGTCAATGATCTTAATTTCTCAACAACAGATGCCTCCTATGTAAACAATAAATAGGAAAAAGTTCATAACAAACATTCTCCACCACAAAAAAAATTATACAATGGTAGTAAGCAAGTCAGCTGAAAATAAATTTTATTCTATTTGTAGACATCAAAGAGTCTTGGTAACAAAACAGTGTCTTTTATCCAGTGAAAATAAATTGTTGAAATGAATAAGGATAAATTACTCTAAAACCTAGTTATTATCTTATTACATTACACCTGAAAATGCTTTCATCAGAAGTTGATTGTTAAAATGTAGTAAACACTTAATTTTCTGTCTCACAGTGACCTAATTTAGTAATTTAATGTCAGTCTAAATTAGTATTTTACTTTAGTGATAAAAGACATCATTAACTTAAAACATTCATTTTGTACAATGTGTGAAAATGTAACACTTGGATTTTTTTTTTTCAGAAAAAAACAACAACAAAAAAACAACACAATATTCATTTAACAGCAGAGATGCCCCAGTATTTAATATCATAACAAAAAGAAGGTTACTTCATTTCCTTGGAAGGAAATAAGCAACTCTAAATACAGTCTGCTATCAAATTTCTCACTTCCTTCATTTTCTTTATGCTCAAACTTCTCCAATTTTATCTTGCATAAAAAAATAAAAACAAGTATAAGATACACTGTAGCCTCGATAACTCGCTCTTCACTATAACGCTAATCTCAGTAGAGCGCTCATAGACCTTGGCTCCCCAAAGAAAAAAAAAAAAAAAACTTCCAAAAAAAAAAAAATTTTTTTTTTTTTTAAGTAGACTTAGATTTATAGCGCGCTATAACGCTTGCTCAATTTGATAGCCAAGTACAATAAACAATTGTTATTAGGACATTTATGATCGCCA